AAAGAAAATTTTTGCCTCTTCAGATCTCTCAGTTAACACCTTCAATTCATTTTTTTGAGCGCGGAAGTCAGTCCGTGAGCGGAGCCGGCAAGATCCGACAATGGATAGCTTGCCGACGACGACGAAATCTGACCGCCGATGGAGGTCAAAGAATATTCAGACCTCCAAGCCTTCTCTAGTAATGGCCTTCTTCTCTTGCCTCGCTTGGCTCTACGTTGCAGGCAGGTTAGTCCCCCCCTTCCCGACTTCATTATGTAGAGAAAATTATGGCATTTCACAGGAATAGGGCATGGAGTCTGCTCTGAAATGTTTCAATGTGCTCGCCTATGTGTGAGCTAACGAGCGTTCATTGGAAATATTGAATTTGATTCTTCCAATGGCACGCTCGCTCTTGAATAGCCAATCATGTATTTGCTTTTTGATTCATGGCTTCCTTCCATTGGAATTCAATCAGGTTGTGGCAAGATGCGGAGAATAGAACATTGCTCACTAATCTTCTTAAGACGAATTCCGCACAGGTTTCTTTCCATCTTTTGTTAGATTCGGAGTCTCGATTTAGCCTCGTCTCGCTCGCTGTAGTTTTTTTGGTGATCTCATATTTTGTTTCTGTTGTTTGGATTAGAGGCCGAAGGTGCTTTCGGTGGAAGATAAGCTAGCTGTCCTTGGATGCAAGTACGTTCAAGACCAGTTTTCCAAATAGGCTGGAGAGATTTTTGTTTGTCTCCAATTGCTGATAATGATAATAATGGTTATTGGATTGTAGAGACCTGGAGAGGAGGATTGTGGAGGCTGAGATGGAATTGACATTGGCCAAAAGTCAAGGATACCTCAAGAACCAGCTGCCACAGTCCGAGTCGGCTTCTGGCAAAAAGCTTCTGGCTGTTATTGGAGTTTATACTGGATTCGGTAGTCGCCTCAACAGAAACGTCTTTCGAGGGTCTTGGATGCCGAAAGGTACATGAGTGATGTGAATTGCACAATCCATATACTTTCCATGTTCTTTGTATGGTCATTTTCCTTCCTCGTTCTTGTTGCGATTCGTGGTCTGTCGGTGTTTTCCTATATTATGCACGTCAACTGTAGAGCGAAATGGAAATGTTGTTGCCTTTACAAGTCGCTAAATTCTTCATCAGTTACTACTTCTGGTCCTGATGCCTATAACAAATAAATTTTGGTTGATTTGCAGGTGATGCCTTAAAGAAGCTGGAAGAAAGAGGAATAGTGATAAGATTCGTCATTGGTCGGAGGTTTTAGATCGTACCTAATCCTCATTTTAGTATCCGTATGTTTGCCTTTTCTTGGTCGAATGTTTTACATATAACCATTTATTTCAATACATGCAGTGCTAATCGAGGTGATAGCTTAGATCGAAACATTGATGGGGAAAATCGCTCAACAAGGGATTTCTTAATTCTTGTAGGTGATGGTGTTTCATGGTTTTTGTCAGTTTTTTTTTTTTTGGTCCTGCTCTGAGGATAATGATCGACGAGGATATGGGTGTGATTCACCGGGGAAAGATGAAATCATGTTTTATTATTTGTGGTTGATTTATCAGGAAGGTCACGAGGAGGCTCAAGAAGAATTGCCTAAGAAAGCAAAGTTCTTCTTCAGTACTGCTGTGCAGAACTGGGATGCAGATTTTTATGTCAAAGTTGATGACCAAATTAACCTTGATCTCGGTATAGTTTCAATATGTTGTGTGCTAGAGCTCCACTCTCATTACTCTAGACTTGTCTTTTCTTAATTGGTTTGCACCTTCATTTCTGACAGAGGGGTTAATTGGACTCCTAGAACGTCGCCGCGATCAAGGCAGTGCTTATATTGGATGCATGAAGTCAGGAAACGTTGTAACAGAAGAGTATGTGGTTTAGAGAATATGAGTCTATATATAATTGTTGTTGCTTGCATCGTTTTAACAACCAATAGCTTATTTTAACTGCTCTATTCTGTTCGTATATGGGTGGATGGAAACTTAGCTGAAGCTACGAGCCTCTCTCTCTGCATTTTATTCCCTTGTTAGAATATGTGACAGTAGTCTTGCCTACCATTTTCTCTACCTAAGCTCAGCTCTTTCATCTTGCCTGTTCGGATGAATTTTTATTTTGGCCAATAACCTTCCTTGGTGCGACTTTTACTGGTTGATCATTATTATTAGTCCTCTGATTTTCACATTTCATTGATGGTTACTTCTAGATTAGACCAAACGTTTCTTCAACTCAAGCTAATGAATCCAGCTTTAAAGTATTATTTTATTGTATTTTCAGGGGGAGACAGTGGTATGAGCCAGACTGGTGGAAATTTGGGGACGAGAAATCGTAAGCATTCATTCCCACTTCTGAATGGATATTTATTAGCAACTCCACCTTCCCTAGTCCAAAATGCTCGAACCTTCAACACACGTTTTGGATTTAGAAAATTGAGTTTCAATTGCTGCTCGAATATGGCATTAGGGAGCTAGATTGGTTATGACTGACCTTCTGTCGTTTCAGGTACTTCCGGCATGCAGCTGCTCCACTTATCATACTCTCAAAAAATTTGGCTCAATACATTAACATTAACAGGTTAGTTTGGATGCTACTGCTGGGTTTCATGTTGCCCTGGTGTTGGTTGATAAACCTAGATTGCACAAAGAGTTCTTACGTTGCATGACTGATGATTAGAAGCTTCAGAACAAATGTTGTGTGAGATAATCAACTCCAATTTTAGTTGGGCCTCAGTTTGATCTATTTTTATGTTGCTAGTAGAAGTTAGTAGGGCAAAAACTGAACCAACGACAGGATAGAAGCTGCAGTTTGAACTTTGAAGTCAACTGCAACGTTAGACTTGCGTTATTCACTTGCACTTGAAACTTCCTTTTTCTTGTACCTTCAAGATGTATCTAAGTCCCAATACTTCTGGAAACAGCGCATCTCTGAAGACCTACGCTCATGATGATACATCGATCGGATCTTGGATGATGGGTATCCAAGCAACGTACATTGATGACAATCGCCTTTGCTGCTCGAGCATAAAGCAAGGTGAATGTTGTTTCTTTTTGTGTTTTATTTCTCTTTGCCATTCTTTTATTACCAAGTTGACCAAATCCAACTGTTTTGATTTGCAGACAAGGTCTGTTCCCTAGCTTGATTAGAGGAACTGGCTTCCTCCTGTCTCGTGATTCATTTGCTTCGACATACTGAGAGAAGCTGTTCTCGGAATTACTTCTTGACAACATCTAATCAATGGATCCACCTCCGATCAGGACCGTGGATTTCAGACAGATTCTTTTTACATTCGCCAGCTGCAGATTCTTCGACGGTAAACAACAGGCTAACTAGATTTTTTTTGTATAAATCCAGTGTGTCGATTGATGCAGTTATAACGTGGCGGATTGAACTTACAATAGAGGGGTGGTTGCTCTTTGAGCAGAATCCCAAGAGTAGAGTTGTTCTTTGTGTGTCGATGAGGCTTCTTTTGGTTTCTAGTTTATCAGTTTTGACTTCGGTTGTAATTTGTAAATGTATCATCGGACAGCTATGTAATGTAAATGTACAGGGGAATGACAATGAGTTAGAACTTAGAACTCCCCTAGTTACGCTTGCCAATCATCATATGTGACTGGGAACACGCAGGTCCCGGCTTGGGCCTTCTGCTCAGAGCTTAAAGGCCCTTTAATCCTATTCACATTAAACTCGTCACACACAAGGGTGCTGACGAGATGGGCGTTTACTAGGTTGCACAATATATGGTTTTTTCTTCAATTCAAAGCTCGGGATGTCCATTGAGCACCTCGCGAATAGGTCCTAAATCTAACACTTGTCTTCGAGCCTCCTCTTATTCAGGCTCGCTTCATAGGTATGTTATAAAAACTCTCCCTTATCGTCGTAGTTGTCCATCATTAAGGTTGCAAATGAGTCAACCTGTTCGTAAGTGGCTTGATGTTCGGTTTCGAAAAACTAGTTCGACCACTTGGCTCATTATACGAGTTGAACTTGAGTTAAGTCTAGTTCGATTTGCAAGGCTCGTGAGACAACTACGCTATGTGGTTTTTTAGCTCAATTCGTGAGGTGTCTCGTTTGAGCTATGAGCTAGCAAGAAAGTGTGACTAGCAAGTCGTCTTGACTAGCGACTTTAAAGTGGATCGATTTATAACTTATGAGTTGGTTTGTTGATAATTCATAGTTTGTCAAAATATGTACCTAACTACATAGATTATATAATCTTCAAGACGTTAAGTACATTAGCAAATAGGTTTCATTTATAATTGAAAAGATAAACTATGAATCACAGATTGTTTAAATACTAATCATTTATAATCCAACCATAGTACTTGCTAAATCGAAGCAATGATAAAAACCAACCCGATAACTTGAATTATAGCTAACTAACCGCGCTGAATTGGCGGGGATTATGGCCTAAAAATCGCTAAGTGATCAAAATGTAAGTTTTCAAATGTTAATTATTTTGTAGAAATTGAAACATTTAGATATTATATCTTACATTAGTCCTTATATTAGAGAATCCTAAACCCAAACAACACATATTAAGGCTGAATGAACCTGGAAGTCGGGAAAAATAAAGGGGTAAAATCATAGTTGTCAACCTACTTGTATGTCGGTTGGTACAATTGAATTTAATTGGCCCGGATATCAAACTAGCGGGAAGAATATCAGTATGAAGCAATCGTCAAAATCGAAAAACATAGTGATATAGTTGAAATAATTCGGTGGAGTAAATTAACAAAAAGAATTTTTTTATTGTATTCAATTATGGATATTAGATGTTAATGTTATTTGTAAAATTCAAATATAAACGTTTAAATCTTGAATTTAAATATGATGATTTGTCATTTAATTTATAATACGATGTTATATTTAAAGTAAAATTAGTGGAAGATTGTCCTGAAGTATCCTCACAAGTATTGTTACAAGTTACAAATGACATAAATAATTTAGTATTTAAACTAGTTGTGCCTCGATCAGACAATACCACTTACTAAATCGAACCGATTTTACAACCTTGATAAAACATACCTAACTACCTAAGCGAGAAGACGATATGAGTTATGAGACTATGAGAGCCGCTTGGCTCGCAAACCACCGCGAACAGAAAATAAACATGGCTACTCTGTTCAAGTACTACAAACCCCTCTGCTCCTCTATCCGATTCACCTCGCCGTTTACAATCCCACCGTTCCGTTATGCTCCTAACCGCACTCGTCCTCCCCGGACCGTTCCGGTCACCGGAAAGAGAAGGCAATTCTTTTCCTTCTTCAGTTCGCTCACTTCATCCCTTCCGGTACTCAACGAGAACAACTCCGGTCCAACCAGTGGCGACGGCGCAGCGAGTCCTCCATCGGAGCTGTGGCTTTACAACACAATGACGAGGAAAAAGGAGTTGTTCAAGTCGAAATTGGACGGTAAAGTTGGAATGTACGTCTGCGGCGTCACCGCCTACGATCTCAGCCATATCGGCCATGCCCGGGTTTATGTCACCTTCGATGTGCTCTACAGGTCCTCCTTACCGCTATCTCCGTTCAATTGTAAGTTCCCTGTGAATTTTGAAGCTGGTGATTGATTAGGTTTTTGGCTTTGTGGTTGGGAATTAGGCAGATATCTAAGGCATTTGGGATATGATGTGTCGTATGTTCGCAATTTCACGGATGTTGATGATAAGGTATGTTCACCGAAACTTCGATTCCGAGACCAAACTTTTTAAGCAGTGAAATTGTGAGAATTTTTCAGGCTTCAGCTTGGCTGGCTACTGAATTTGATTTTCAAACTATGTAGATAATTGCACGAGCGAATGAAGTGGGGGAGGATCCAATCAGTTTGAGTAGAAGATACTGTGAGGAATTCCACCAGGATATGGTTTCTCTTCATTGCCTGCCTCCTTCTGTTGAGCCCCGAGTATCAGATCACATGCCTCAAATTGTTGACATGATCAATAAGGTACCTCAGCAGTGAATTTTCAGAATGCGGGTTCCTTTGTATGTGAATCGATTGCGTATTACCATTTATGAGCAACAGTATTAGCTTTCAATCGCTTATTCTTTCTGCACTTTGAAATGTACACATCTCCGCACCCACACCTTTCTAAGCGAGAAATTTGTCATTCATAAAGACTTGTGATTTACTTACGGTAGTAAGTTAACTTCCTTTCCAACAGCGGACTCCTTTATTTCTATCAGTTACACATCATCTGCCAGTGTTTTTTTTTTATGTATAGTAACTATTTCTTGACTTCTTATCTTATCAGATTCTTGATAATGGGTGTGCCTACAGAATTGACGGAGACGTCTACTTCTCTGTGGACAAGTTCCCACAGTATGGACGTTTGTCTGGAAGAAAACTAGAAGATAACCGAGCAGGTGAGCGGATAGCTGTTGACACAAGAAAAAGGAATCCTGCTGATTTTGCTTTGTGGAAGGTAATAGTTTTCTAGTAAACGTGTTACTTTGTAATATATCCTTCTCTTGGTATTGACAGGATGTATTTAGATGTGCCTTTGTAATTTTATCTTGTAAGAGATCATGCTGGGCACTTTTTTTATTCAAATGTGTGCACCTAAATTTCTGTCTTTATGATGCTCATTATTTGTGCAATATTCTTTAGTTGATGGTTAGTATAATATTCCAAGTTTAGTAATTTGTACATGATAATATATCTATGCTTTCCCTCAAAACTGGTTTTCTCAATCGACATTTTGCTGCATTATGCCTTTTTGACAATCTCAGTCCGCGAAGGAGGGTGAGCCATCTTGGCAGAGTCCTTGGGGCCCTGGAAGACCTGGATGGCATATTGAGTGCAGTGCCATGAGTGCTGCTTATCTGGGTCATTCCTTCGACATACACGGTGGGGGAATGGATCTTGTGTTTCCGCACCATGAAAATGAGATTGCTCAGAGCTGTGCTGCTTGTGGAGATAGTAATATAAGCTATTGGGTTCACAATGGCTTCGTCACAGTTGATTCAGAGAAAATGTCAAAATCTCTAGGAAATTTTTTCACAATTAGGCAGGTAGTGAATTTCCTTTTAAATGATTTGAACTTTTGGCTCCTAGTGAACTTATGATTATAGTGATTTTGAATAATCATGCTGCTAATGCCTATGCATATATATTTTTGTTTCCCAGGTTATAGATCTATACCATCCCTTAGCAGTGAGGCTTTTCTTGTTGGGTACCCATTACAGATCTCCAATAAATTATTCCGATGCACTGCTTGAGAATGCTTCTGACCGTATCTTTTACATTTATCAGGTGCTTGAACATACAAATTTCTCTCTCTATTATATCCGTTATGTCCTGGATTTGTGCCCTGGATTCACGCGTTATCTGATTCTATGGCCGTGATGTTGATAATGACCCTTTTCTTAGTTTGATTCGGGAATTTTTTTTTCTATTTAATCCCATGTTATTGATGGGATATTAGAGACTGCCATGTTTCTAAATGTTACTTTAATCTGACTTGGGTTGTTCATTTGGTTGCAGACATTATATGATTGTGAGAATGTAATCGGAGAGCAAGATGCAGGTTCTGAGGACAGTGCAATTCCTCCTGATACGATGAATTGTATAGTGAAATTCAATGATCTGTTTGCAGCCTCAATGTCTGATGATCTCCATACCCCTGTTGTTTTAGCTGCTATATCTGACCCATTGAAAATCATCAACGATATGCTGCACACACGCAAGGTAATTGAGTCCAGACTGTGCCATAAATATCTCAGCCTACTTTGACATGACATCAATTTTCAGGAAATCAATGCTGCAGAATTGACCCGACTTTGTCACTTTGTAAACATAAAAATATTCGTTTGTAGTTTCCACTGAAGTTTGTTGTATTTGGCCTCTATATCCCAAGCATTAGTAAAAGTGAAAATTTAGGAGAGAGCATGTTATGCTGTCAACCTCTCTGGTGATTGTGACATTATTTTAATTGATCAATGCAGGGAAAGAAGCAAGCAAAGAGAATAGAATCACTCTCTGGACTAGGAAAGATAGTCCAGAAAGTCCTAACCATCCTGGGGCTGATGCCAACAACTTATTCAGAGGTAAGCCTACCATCTTGTAACCAGTTTGCATTATTAAGTAGCGAGAATCATTGAGTTCGCTTGTTCTGTGTATTTATCCCATGCGTCTTCTTCCATTTTACTTTAGAATTTTTCCTTTTATTTCTACTTTTCCGTCCTTCAATTAATTATGCCTTCTCAACCACTTTGTTTCCTGAATTTTTTTGGGTGTAGTTCTTCTGCGCTAAGAAACCTCTGACTTATTCTCTCCTTACTGCAAACTGTTTCTCATGCAGGTTCTTCAGCAGTTAAAGGAAAAGGCATTGAGGCGTGCCAAGTTAACAGAAGACCAGGTTATTCAGAAGATTCACGAAAGGACTGAAGCAAGAAAGAACAAAGACTATGAAAAATCAGATGCCATCAGAAAGGAGTTATCTTCTGTTGGAATTGCTCTTATGGATAATCCAGATGGGACTACCTGGAGACCGGCTGTCCCACTCGCCTTGCAAGAGCTGGAAATTGGCACACCTTGATGTTTCCTTCTCGGTATTGAACTCTTAAAGATTAACTACACATCTTCTTGATTCCGATTAGGTATTCTTTCTCCTCCAATTTATGCATCCTTTTTTAGTTGTCTTCATCATAAGACTTGGGAAAGTTCTTCCAGGCTTTGAATTGACATTTCAGGAAGAGATACAACTGTTAAACAGAACAATTTCAGTCTTATTCAACTAACCAATCTATCTGTTTTCTCCTTTTTACTTACAGGCTGGAACGGTTACATTGGCAATGTGAGCAAATACAATAGAGAAAGGTGCAATGGTTATTGGGTCCGAAAGTCTGGCCTGAACCGGTTCCAGAAGAGGTATAGATCCAGATGTATTATTCACTGCAAGTACTTTCCCGTTCAGAAGTACTGTCTGACTGTGTAAATCATTACCATTAGCGGTCAAGTGGTATTCCTCTCTTGCATGTGCATTAGCTTTGGAACCGCTTGACATCCTAGTGAATTTTGATCTTCGATTTTGGTGATGTCGCCGAGCTGTCCGAACAGTCATGGCATTTTCAGTAGAAACACGCACATTAGCTGTCGTGTTACTGTCAAGGTTGATCAAAAGTAATGTGATTCCTTGCTGCATTCATATATTTCCAGTATAAATTAGTCAGCTTGATATGAACCACTGTGATTTCTTTCTACGTTTAGTTTCAGGGTTAAACTTCACTCACAGATTCCTTTGAACAGTGAGCATAAGCACGTATTTTCTTGGTTCCAGAGAAGCTCGTGGAAAGCACCTTTGTTCCCATCAAACGGTGCCACAGCAGTGCACTTTAAACAGCAGAGATTGATAGATAAGGTCTTAGATTGCCGCAGGGGGAGAAACTGGGTACTATTTTTTTTCTATTCCATGGTTTCAGGAATTCTCACCTGTAGTAATCTGGGTTCGGAACGAAGGTGGTAGTGTTGAGCAGGCCATAATTCCCTCCAATCAGTGACTGCCTACAGTAAGTTTTGGTGTTGTAGGATGCCGCCATTCCTAGCTGATCCAGGTACCTGTCGGTGCAGCAGAGTACGGCATCAATATTTCAGGGATCTGATAGTGTGAAGATGAAGGGAACTCTGGCAACTGGGTTATAGGCTTAGTACCAGAAACTGAACACAAATGCATTCGTGACTAGATTATGACCGCTGTTGTAGGCACCACCGGCCTCACCAACCCAAGCAACAGCTGAACTCCCTGTGGTCTTCAAGATTCCTTGCAGTCCACTGAAAGGCGACGAGCCACCATCGAGGTACGATGGATCCAGAATCTTGTCAACCAAGTGAGTATCAACACCTGATTTCCATAGTGAACTTTCAGAAAAATACTGTATGTGGAGTAAAAGACGAATGAAATCAAATAACTAGGCTCAGGGATGGTCAACTCTTCTGTTCCAACAATACCTGGTCCCAGGTTATAGATATGATGAGTGACAACCTGAAGGGAGTTCTTAGGTGTTTTATTTATGAACTGTGTGAGCCAATTCGCGTCGTAAAACCCTCCAGGTGCCAAAACCAGTGGCTTCTTCATCCTCTTCCCGAACCTCGCATAAGTTCTCCTCACGATATCGTGCAGGTTGGTTATATCAGATGCGTACTGGTCTGGGGCCACACTGGTCCCAATTCCGCTCCCACTAAGCTCATTCCCGAGCTCCCAACCAAAGATGGTGAATTTTTTGTTCACGGTATGTCTTATCAGAGCCTCCGCATTGCTCGAGTTCCACGCTCCTGCTGCTGAACCATCAGAAGCTATTGTCCTACCGTTCAGCGCGTTTAACCCGAATACAATCGCTGCCCTGCATTCTCAAAAATGCAGCACCAAGTTGAACGATCTGAGTCGTGCAAATGACTTCGTCGACAATGTTGAACTTGCAGAAAGGGGGAAGTGTATGGTTACTGTATTGTACCCAGCTTTCCTGAAGAAAGAGTTGAGTTCGTCCCATCTCGACATGGGCAAGCAGCCCTGGGAGAAGCCAAACATTTCTGAAGAGCTCTTGATGAAGGAAGCTGGGCAAGCCTGTTGTTGAGTCTCGTATATGACCTTATCTTGTAGGGTACCCCCCAATCTGATCTTCAGAGGAGAGAAGGCTGGAAATGTTGAACAAAAAAACAAATAAAAAAAAAATTATAAAAATAAGGAATCAAGGCACAGCCTGTTATGCTCTGTTCTTCACTCTGCAAATTATTCCTTGTGTACCTTTAATGGCGTTGAGTAACAGAGGGTTGGTAAGATCCTGCAGAGAGTTGAGATTCGGAGGAAATAGTCAGAAGAAGGAAATATATGAATGATACCCTTCGAAACTGTACTTCCATGTAATTAATGACAATTTTTTTTGGTGTCGTTTTCAGTCTAAATAAGTATATATATATATGTTAATCCAACTCTTCACAGTTTTCAACCCTGACGCCATTGATGGTTTTCGAAAGATAGTGACATAGTCCCACTGAGTTTTACAAAAGAAACCTTCATTCCATAATGAAACACAAATATTAGATCTCTCGTCGGTCTTTTTTTAGATTCTTAATTCTTTTGGTAGGTGTCAAAACAGGCTGACACTATTATATCGCATAGTCTAATTATTAACTGTCGAGTGTATGTACATGTTGACATCATTCAGATTGTTGTATAAATTTACCGATGGACAATGATTAACCATGCTATTCGAAGATGCTAGACAACATGTTAATCAAATCGTAGAGCTATGGTACATGTATAGTACGCAGAAACACTGCAATCACTCATATTTTTTCTTGCATCTCGCATGCACCGCAATTATCCGAAAACGATATTAGAATAATAATAAAAAACGCTTAAACATATGGTGCAGTGCTTAGTGCTTACCCCTTGCCACCATCCAACAACAAATCCAACCCGATTCAACAAATGAATAAACTCACAAAAGAAGGTCAAAGAGAGTTTAATTATCAAAGGCTGACCAGGTTAAGAAGAGAAGCTCTTCCCCAGCTGCAAGTTCCATAGTCACATTTCTCCGGCGGCCACCAGTCGAGAGTTGCACATATGAAATTTGGGTTCGTCCTCCCGATTCTCGAGCTTCCATTGATGACAACCGTCCCTTCAACCGCCGCTGTCGTGCTCTGGGAAGCCACGAAGAAGAAGATGGAGCTGTGAATCAGCAAACTCAGCAGCAGGCAGAGCCCGGTCGAGGAAGATGAACCACCCATATTATTTATGATCATGAAAAAAAAAATATACTAGCAACTGAGATTTCTTTTTCCTTGCTCTTTTGGACCGTAGGTTGCTGTTATATATAAACGTAAGCTTCAATTTTTTGGAGGATTAGAGGGAGTGGTAGAGACATGGTGGTGGTGGTTTGTCTAATTGAGATAGAAATTATTATCATTATGCATATGGGAATCATTTGACTAAAATATCTCTGCGGCCATCTTTTTCTGGTAATGCGACAATTGTTTCAATATATTCCTTTCTGCTGTTAATAATCCCCTCTTAGTTGTTTTTTTTTTCCAAGTTATTAAGTGAGTTTCAGCCGGTGGTTTATGATGTATCGTTAAAAAGGCTTATAGTGTTATGATCGTTAATCAATGTGAATATATATGTGATGGACGAGTTGATACATTTCTTTGTTTCACCTCATTGAAGCGGAAGTGAAGACTCTATTGGAAGATCTCACATTAACACAAAAATATATTTATAAATGTGTGGTCCAATCAGACTATCAAGTTTTGGTACAAGTTTTATCTCAAGATTCTTTTAGTTGTCCTTGGTGAAGTGCGGCCTGGATATGATTAAGGTCAAAGTTGTGTCTAGGAAATTTAATGCTAGAGCTGATAGGATTGCCCGCTCTTTGACAAGATTTTCTCTCATATAATTGGATCAATATTTTCGATCTACATACTTTTTTTTTTAATATTATAAACTTTGTGGTTTCTTTGTCGTTCTTACTGTAAAAAAAATTCATTGCAAGTTGAAAAGAAACCGAATGAGAGAGGGGACAAATAAGACACACAAGCTAGTAATGAGAGGGCAATAAGATTATACAAACACGAGTCCAAACGGATAAATAAAATTAGACATGTTGAGAGTATTATACATAAGCCAATAAGTTAAACATCTAGACTATCAATAATATTAGAATTTTAATGATAGATGACGGTTCCAAAAGTCAAGGTAATCAACTGCTAATTTGTCCTCATGATACATACCGAAGTTGTGAGCATTTCGTTCCAAAAAGAGTGTGCGTCAACATAACATTTATATAGATATAGCCATATAAGTTGAATGAGTGTAATTTGGACGAATTAAAAGCCACGATAAAATCTAATTTGAGATTTTATGTCTGAATCTCATTTTAGGAAGTCCTAAGTACCTTGGACTTCCTACTGTTGTTGGAAGGTCGAAGAAGGAGTTATTCGAAAGCATTAAGGATAGAGTCCGGAAAAAACTCAAAGACTGGAAGAGCAGAACAATGTCTCCAGCGGGGAAAGAAGTTATGATTAAGGCTGTTGCACAAGCCCAACTTCTTTATCCGATGTCTGTATTTCGGATTCCTATGGGTACCATTAATGAGATTCAAGCTATGATTTCGAGCTTTTGGTGGGGTCAGAAGGGAAAGGAAACCAAATTGCACTGGCTGGATTGGGAAGAGCTATGCGATGGGAAGGACGAGGGAGGGCTGGGCTTTCGAGACCTTCATGCTTTCAATCTGGCAATGCTGGGAAAACAAGTGTGGAACATTATGACCAGGCCTAACTCTCTGATGGCCAGGACTTTAAAAGCTAGATATTTCCCTAAAAATGATATTCTGGATGCGAAGCTGGGTCATAAACCGAGTTTTATATGGAGGAGTATTATGGAGGCAAAGGAGCTTATTTCTGATGGCTTCAGGTGGAGGGTGGGCGATGGTAAGGATATTCTGGTGTGGGATGATGCCTGGATTCCGGGCAAAGGTTTCTTTCATGCTGATCCCACCCCCTCTGGTCCCTTCCCGGACGACAAGGTTGATTCCCTTATCGATTTCAGCAAGGGAGGGTGGGATTTAGATAAAATTAATGTTCTCTTTTCGGAGCAGGATAAGATTCTGATCCCAAAGATTCCCCTTACCTACCCTCCTAGAAAGGATACGAGAGTTTGGAGAGACACTGATGAGGGCTCCTATACAGTTAAATCGGCCTATCTAAGGATCCGTGGACAGCAAATGAGCACTATGACCCGCACTCATGTTCGATCTGAAGAAGAGGCAGATTTTTGGAAATCGGTGTGGAAAATTGACATTCAGCCTAAAGTGCGATTCTTCCTGTGGAAAGTGGGTAAAGGTATCTTACCTGTTGGGAGTAACATTGAAGAGTGGATCGATTGGGCCAGCCCCGAGTGCCCCTTTTGCGGTCTTCCTGAATCCCAGATGCATGCATTACGGGACTGTGATTGGATACGGCGGAGATGGAGCTCCTGTGAAGTCAAAGAAGTTTTTGAATTAGGGGAAGGCAAATCATGTTCGGAATGGTTGAAGATAGCTTGTAAAACAGCCCCGAAAGAAAAGGTACAGAAGTTCAGTGCTATTCTGTGGTACCTGTGGAAAGAGCGGTGTAATCATAAGTTTAACAACATGAAACTGGATGAGGATCAGATTGTCCCTAGGGCGCTTGCGTGGCTCCAGTCTTATCTTGAGGCTCAGAACAGGCCGCTGCTGGGAAGCTCTGCATGTCATCTTGACGGTTCGAGCAGGATGAAACAGAAGTGGACGACGCCCCCGGCTGGGTTCTTCAAATTGAATTGCGATGCAGGTGTCTTCGCCAATGATGGGATTGGACTGGGATGTATCTTTCGGAACTCAAGAGGGGATTTTTGTGGCGCTACTGCCAAGAAGGAAAGAGGGGGATGTAGACCGATTGAAGCTGAAGCGAGGGCGATTTTGATGGGTCTCAAGGAGGCAAACAGAAGGCAGTTGTATCCGCTAATTGTTGAATCCGATTGCCAATCGCTGATGGGGAAACTGAAGAACAAGGAGGTCGATTGGACTGAGCTGGGAATTCTGTGCGAAGAAATCTGGAAATTGGCTGAAGAGATCGAGGAAGCTGCGGGTTGTTCTGTGAAATGGAGTTTTGTTTCCAGAAGTGGGAATGGGCCGGCCCATTGGTTAGCCCACTCGGTTGTGAGCTGGGATAATCAGATTATTTGGGTTGAGACCCCCCCTTTTCCTGTTGTAAGCCTGCTTGTGGCCGATTTGGGCCGAGGTCAGTCTGGCCTGCTTTGAATTTTCTGAATGAAATACCCCAGGTTTTCCATCAAAAAAAAAAAAGAGAATGGGTTCAACTATACTAATAGTTCCTCCTAGGAAAATCAACTTGTTAACTAATAATTTATTAGCCTTCTTAATCCCAATTATAAATCCTTGCAAGTCCTAATTTGCCAGTACGGCAGGTTGGGATTAGGCAGCTGGACAGGTCAGAACACAGAGAGAGCTCCCCCAGGTATTGTCTGTCTGCATCTGCACACTACAATTTGACTTTTTGGCGTTTAACCTCCTTTACTTATTCAATCATTTAGTCCCCAATCACTTGTCATTTCCAAACCACCAACGAATCACACTTCTCTAACGTTGATAATCGAAATCACAGCGGAGCAGCAAACAAATCCTTACATAGGTTTTAGGGATGGCAATTTGAACCCGCCCTGTCGGGTAATACTTGACCTGGCCCGTGATGGGACGGGTATTACCCGACCCACATTAGCATGGGGCGGGGCATGGGTATCAACTTCTGGCCCGCCCTGCCCCACCCCCTCCATTCTTAGCCCGTTCTAGGTCAATTTTTTACCCCATCCATTCATATATCTTCTATTTAGACTTTTATTCAACTAGTTAAACTTGATCTTTCAACTAAATAGACTCAATTACTTATTATTATCACTATTATTCATTCATCAAGTTTCCGCCCCTTTGTTTTATCATAAAAAGTAAAATTGTGCGTGTATTTTTCTTAAATAACATGTAAGAGTGGGTCGACCCGCCCCACCCCGTACCCGCACGGGTATTACCCGCACCCGACCCTTACTAGCGTGGGGCGGGACATGGGTATTGAGGTACCCGCCCCGCCCCCGACCCATTGCCATCACTATGCATCAGCGATAGGGATGGCAATTATGCCCATACCCATGGGTATTTTACTATCCAACCCAATTGGGTTGGGTATGAAATCCAAATATATGGATATGGGTAAAGTTTGATGGGTTTGTACCCATACCCATTTATTTTGGGTTGTGTTGGGTTTATAACAAATGGATTTGGGTTTGTACCCATGCCCAAATACAAATTACAGTTTAGTATCTAAACTTAATAGATATGCATATTTAGTACCTAAATTTAATTTTTTTTGCATATAAGTCCTCAAAATATCGATGGAAAATTACGTTTTGGTACCTAAATTTTTTTGGTCTTACATTTTGGTACCTAAAATTTTCAAGTTTTACAAATAAGTCCAATTTTTGCATGTGTAGTAAAGACACCCTCAAGTAAATGGATATCCATATCCAACCCATACCCATTTAGATAATACACACATCACCCAAACCCTACCCATAATAGATGGGTCTACTTGGGTTTGGGCAAAATTACCCATGGGTGGGTAAATTGCCATCCCTAATCAGCGATCAATTTGGTGAGACTAACTATTCAAAATATATTAGAAGTATAATAACAAAAATAATTCGATAAAATTACACAAACTTTATCACTTAGCTTTCATAAATACGACTAGCGGGCCTACTGTTGTCCATTTTTTTCCGATTAAAGTTGAGGGCCCAGCAGCCACTTCATTTTTAGGTGTGTTTTGTTTGGGCTTCGGTCATGGTCCAGCCTAGCTGGAATTTAAGGGAAGGTTGCGTGATGTAGGCCCACAAAAAGGAAGGCGGTAACTGACCAACTTCTGGGCCGGGAAGTGGGGACTTGGGAAGCAATTTTAGATGAGATGAGGGACTAGTTTGGATTTTTCCCTAATAAAAGGCGGGTGAAACCAAGTGGGGCTCAAGTTAGGTGCATAACCCATGGTTATGCACCCATCAATAACCAAATCTGAACCCTTCATTTAGAAAATCCAAATCTAAGGATGGAGAATTAAAGCTCATTTTTATTTTCACTAGCTTTTTTAATTGACTCATATCTTTTTCGTTTTAACTCGGATTTTAATTTTTTTTGCACAGATGGAACAAGTTCATCGTGCTCTACAAAATGAGATCAATTTTCAATATTTTTTGAGGAAAAAAAAAATTCTGGCCTCTCGGTACCAACTGCATACCATATGGTATCTTCTTCGTTTTTAATTCGTTTTTGAAAACGTTTGCACAGCAGGGACGAGTTCATCATGATCTATTGGATCTACAAATTTCTGGGTGAACAAATTACAAGACAAAAAAATACCACACAATACCATACAATACCACCCTGGTACGGGGTGGTATTTTATGGTATCTTATGGTATACAATGTTAAAAGTCGTAAATGACAATTAATATACTTCTACTATCATGTATTCAACCATCCTACAGTTTTGGTTTGTGTCATACCACCATGGTACGCTTTTCAAACCATAGGTATGCTCTTATTTCAATACCAGCCAAATACCATATGGTATAGACTGGTATAAAATGGCTCGATTTTTTTTTGTTCGGAAAATATATCAAAGTGGATATCATTTTGAAGAGCACAATTAATTTGATCTAACTGTGCAAAAAAAATTAAATTTCAACTTAAAACGAGTGAGAAATTGTCCTTCAAAGATTAAATAAGGGAGAATTAAAGGCTTTCCATAAGAGAGAGGATGCTGATGTCATGCTGATATAGGCGGGTTACTCATAGTTACTCACCATAAGGTTACTGACCTGATCCATTCCCAACCAAGTGGGCCCGCATTTTCGTCGTTACCCTCGAGTGGAAAAACCTGAGCGTGGTCTCCGCTGAGGAGCTCTTATCAAAAGTCACCTTGCTTATCATGTCCGCTTATCGTGTAGCGTGCATCAGCTCTCATATATAAATACCATCACACATTCCGCCACACTGGAGAGAGAGAGAGAGAAAGTGCTGGTCCGAGAAAGTAAAGACTAAAGAAGCAGAGCCACGAGAGCAACACAACACTGTGTTTGCGCTTCCGTTTTTTTGTTTCCAGAGCAGAAATCGAAACGGCAATCGCAGAGTTCTTCAGTTCCTGCCTCACTTCATCAGCGCGGAATCGGTCAATAATCGGGTAACCAATTGTCGATCCTTTTCTCTTTTGCGTATCTGGCGATTTCATTTCTCGTTAATCCTTCGTCTCCGGTGATCGGAATTCAGTTGCTTAGTGTTATCGCTCTGACTGAACGCAACTGATCGAATTCTTTCCGTTCGTCGATGAGTCGGACGACTGAATTCTACTGTCTGGAATTCTCTTCTTCCCCGATGATGAAAGGAAGGAGGATGGAGGGGGAAAATAACTAGTATAAGCTGAGAATTTGACGATTGGATGGTTATTGGATTGATTTTTTCTAATTTGATGTTTTCTTATCTGAATTTTAGGGTCTCCGTTTGGGGAGGATGACGACTCTCGGTAAGGAGCTGGTCTTCTTGATCCTGCAGTTCCTTGAAGAAGAAGGTTTTAAAGAGGCTGCTCGAGTGTATGTTGAATTTTCTTTTCATTGATTACCTCTCTTCCCGATCCACGCTGTTTCTGTAAATGTCTTACATGGATTGTGAATTCCAAAATTTTAATGGTATGTTATGGTAGGCTCGAGCGGAGTAGCGGTTATTTCTTCAATATGGAGCATTTTGAGGAATTGGTTCTAAAGGGGGACTGGGTTGGGGCTGAGAAGTATCTTTCTGGGTTCACTAAGTTTGAGGATAATAAGTACTCAACCAAGATCTATTTTGAAATGAGGAAGCAGAATTTCCTCGAGTCATTAGATAAGTAAGCACCCAATGGTCTTCGTTTTTTTTTGTTTTTTTCTTTATTACTGTTATGATTTCCTTTAGGAAGATAATGGGATCATCATCAGGTTTGTTGTTTTCTTTACAGCAATGATAGAGCCAAGGCATTAGACATCCTCTTCAATGATTTGAAAGTTTTTTCCTCGGATAACAAGGAATTGTACAACGAGATGACACAGCTCTTGACCTTAAACAATATAAGGTGTGAGTTCCTATTCATTTTCTTTCTCCTTTCAAAATATTGAAAATGGATGCAAGTGCCTGTAGACTTTCTAAGGTAGCTAGAATTTTTTACATTTGATGCTTGGATAGGGAACATGGGTCACTCTCAATGTATGGTGATACTGAAACTGCAAGAACAATTGTGGTGCAAGAACTCAAGAAAATCATCAGGGCGAATCCCATTTTTCATGGAAAAGTGGATTTTCCCAGCATCAGAACTCAAAGGTTACGGCGTCTTATTAACCAAAGGTTAGATTCTCTGCTACATACAAGTGAGATAAATAGAATATTTATTTGGACTGTGTGATGGTACATGTGCATATAATGGGCTAATAGTTTCTCGCTGTCACATTGCTTTGTGGAATCTGTAACTAGTTTGCAGAATCATAGTTTAATTTTCATGATTGCTGCATACTGGTTTCAAATTGAGAGGTAACTGATAGTTGAAAGTTGGTTTGACAGCTTGAATTGGCAGCATTTACAATGTAAAGATCCCCAGCCAAATCCTGATATAAGAACCCTTTTTGTGGATCATGTTTGTACACCTCCGCATGAACATATTCCTTTCTTGTTGAATGCTGTTATTCCTAAGGTATGATATGCTAGTCATAGAATCATAGTTGATGGCTTTCTTATTTCAGAGTGGACGAACTATGGTTCACAATGAATTCAAATTTTTGCATCTGGCTAATAGTTTTCAATTGTTTTTTCTTTTTATTGTTCGAGTTTAGTGTGCATCTGCCAGTGTGACATCAACCGTTACTAACTCTGGGATCTCTGGTGCCACCCTTTGCCCTGGTACTGACCTTCCTGTCTTGGACTTTTTGTGTTTCTTTTGATTAAGCTTCGTTCTTTTAATATGTGAGTTAATGTTCATTTTAATACCAATTCTTTACTGCTTGCCAGTGGCCACCACGGATCATCTTGAGACAGACGCTGCATCCCAAAAATCATCATATCTCACAGCTGATAGGGTACAACGGGATCAATTTCCATTTTGATGACCAGTGCTCATTATTAACGTTTTCTTTGCTTTTACTGATTTCAAATGATTTGTAGGACACACAAAACGTTACTCCCTCTGGTCAAAGTTCTGTGGTTTCTCCTGTTGATTTGCGTGAGAATCATACAGGAAACTCTGTGCTTGGGAGTCATCGACTGACAAGCATCACTGACTTTCCAAAGAAGGTCGTGAAAATATTGACTGAGGACTCATCTCAAACAAGCATGGACTTCCATCCTGCTCAGCATACTCTTCTACTAGGTTTGGCTATTAGAAATGCTCTTGGAGAAGTACTTTGATTGGACTTGATGTTACTTAAACAAGTTTTTATTCTGGAACTGAAGTTGGAACTAGCACGGGAGACATAAGTTTGTGGGAGGTCGCTTCTGGTCAAAAGTTGTTTGGAGGGAATTTCAAGGTTTGGGATATAAGTGCATGCACAATGGCATTCAAGGTTTGTTTATACATGAAGCATTATCTTTCTTAGCAGGAAAGTACTTCAATGGACTAAACCAGTTTCGTCATATTTTCCAGACTGCTCTGCTTAAAGATCCGCGAATGTCTGTCAACCGCGCTGCTTGGAGTCCTGATGGCTCTACTTTTGGTATGTCTATGGATAATGGAACAATTGATTGCAGGCAGAAGCTTGCCGTTTTGAATTTGGCTTTTTTTCAATTCACAACTTTAAACTTGGTTTCCATTTGTTTAAATAGGTGTTGCATATTCAAAACACATAGTACAGATGTATGCTTACCATGGTGACAACGACGTGCGGCAGCAACTGGAAGTAAGTTTCACACAATTCTCTATTGTCCTTCTCTAACAATGACAGAATATTATTATAAGCTCAATAACTTTTTCATTGTTGATTTCTTTATTAAGATCGATGCTCATGTTGGTGGTGTCAATGATCTTGCATTTGCTGCCCCTCATAAACAACTTTTAGTCATAACATGTGGTGACGATGGAGCAATTCAGGTTAGTTCACTGGTAACCTAGAATTGAATTCTTGGAATCTGAAGAAACTCATTTATATAACTCATTTTTGTTGTAGGCATGGGACATGACCACTGGTGGTAGAATCTATAAATTTGAAGGCCACAATGCATCAGTTTATTCACTCTGCCCCCGCACCAAGAACAACATTCATGTAATAGTAACACTTAAATGTATTTGGTAGTTTTCCAATGTTGGTGATATGAATCATTCTGGTTTCATTCATTTGGATATCTTCTAAAAGATCATTTTTATTTTGTATTTTCAGTTCTTCTTTTCCACTTCAGTGGATGGAAACATAAAAGCATGGCTCTATGACGATTTGGGACCTAGAGTTGATTATGATGCTCCTGGTCGGGCTAGGACATCAATGGCTTACACTTCTGATGGTCAAAGGTTGCCAAAGCTCTCTTGGACTATACTGTCTTCGAATGACTTGATTTTAAGTTATGGAGTTAATGTTGTAGTAAATTTTTTGTAGGCTTCTTTCTTGTGGAACCAGTAGTTCTGGAGAGTCATTCCTTGTTGAATGGGATGAAAGTGAAGGAGCTATCAAAAGAAGCTACCGAGGATTGCAGAAGAGTTCTGCAGGTGCAGTTAAGTTTGATATATTGAAGAACCAGTTTGTGGCTGCTGGGGAAGAAAATGTAATCAAGGTTTGGAATTTGGACAATGATGATGTTTTGACAACTATTGATGCCGAGGGAGGCTTACCTGTAAGTTTTTGCATGGTTCGTTTTGTTGGCCTAATTTGCTGATACAAGTACTAAACAACCAAACCTGAGTTCGATCATACTCTGACAATTCTCTGCTATGATTAAGGAAAACCCACAAATACGATTCAATAAGGATGGAACCCTCTTGGCTGTTTATGCAAAAGAAAACAAAATCAAGGTCTTGGCAAGTGATAGTGGTCTTCAGTTGCTTGGTATATGTGGAAGTGGTTCTCAAGGGTCTTCCAGAGTGGTTGGGGAGGTCAGCACATTCTTCCTCATCTTTGTTAAGCTTAACACAGTAACTTATCTTAATTTTATACAATACACTTCCCGTGTTGTGACATCATGCATATTGCAAATAGCATTTTGAATGGTTGATATGCAGGAGATGATGTTGATAGATTTTTTCCTGGCAAGTTTTAAGAATTAGAAACTGCTTCTGTAGTTACTAGTTACTATGAGCCAAGTTAAGTATTTTTTTTGCAGGAAGGAGACACAGTAAACAGGGAGGCTTTGAATTTGAACCTTACTGAGGAAGATAATACAGGAAAAAGTAGGAAACCTTTTGAATCCTACAGACGTTCTCAATGCCAATGCTTGTTGCTGCCTTCTCATGTGAACGTAGAGAAGGTTAGATCTTCCAGCAGTGTCAGCATTTTCAAATTTTTTTATTTGCTTTGTAAGTCTTTTGACCCCGCAACTAATTATGGACTTAATGTTTTAAGCACTGATATATCATAAGATTACTGTTTATCCATTTCGATATATAGTTATAGCCCCCATTACACTCATCCTTTGTTTGATCCTCTTATGATTTCAAATTGTCGTCAGTTTTGTCCATGTGCACCTGTGGTACCTCTGTCTCGAGAACTGGGGATAACATGTGGCCCTCCATCCATTTTCCGTATTGCTCGTGTTACAAATGTGAATGAGATGGTTAAAATAACATTGACATTGTTTCTCTGGGACTAATGCAGATATCAAGGTTGATTTACGGGAGTGCAGGTAATGCTGTTTTGGCATTAGCATCAAATGGGATTAATTTGTTATGGAAATGGCCAGTTAATGTTCTCAATTTGACCGGGCAGGTGAGATAGACAACACATTTTAACAATTTTATTCTCTGTTTGAAAATTTCTGCTTTAGTCTCGTTATCTGGGTCAATGTTTAATGCAGGCCACTGCCAAAGTTCCTCCTGAACTAGTGAAACGAAGGAACTCCTCAACAACACTGATGAAAAACGAACTTACTGCAAACCCTGAGGCTATCCCATGTTTTGCTTTGTCAAAGAATGATTGCTATCTCATATCATCATCAGGAGGGAAAATTTCCCTTTTCAACGTGCTAACATTCAAGGTAAAAAAAAAAAACATAACCAAAACCACATTGTATTCACTCACTGGTAGAATTTAAAACATGCAAAACCAATTATTTTGCACTTTGCATCGACTTCATCAAATCTGGGCTTCTTTTCTTGTTGTTAACACCCTTGGGCGATATCCAAAGACTATGGTGTCTATCACGCCTCCGTCCTCAGCAGCTACATGTCTTGCTTTCCACCCCATAGATAACAACATTGTTGCCATAGGGAGGGCTGATTCCACAATTCTTACCTACAACGTCCGTCTCAACAAGGTATGTCTTCCTCCTGCCATGAATGACATCCAGAACAGGAAAAGGCCAGGCAAGCCTTTCCTAATTCCTGAAGGATTTTTATGCAGACAGTTAGTGTGCTGTCTGGTCATACTGGAAGGATCTCGGGGCTTGCCTTTTCAAACACTCTGAACATGCTGGTGTCTACTGGAGCAGATGCTCAGGTTAGCATTCTTGTTTCATAGCATCTACATGGAATCACCCTCTCTTTTCCATGTTTCTGCTCGTTTATTTCTTCAACATTGTGTTCTGGTGATTAAAAGTCGAATTTGATCTCTATTTGCATCTTCTGCTGCCTGCTATACGAATCACGTTTGTTTGATTTGTAGATTCTTGTATGGGATGCTGAAAACTTTGCAAGACAAGGAAGCAGAAGATTGCTGGAGATTCCAGATGGAGTGGAGTCAGATACCTGCGTCCAATTTCACCCTGACCAGACACAACTCCTTGTAGTACACAAGTCCTATATGGGAGTCCTGTCGGCCCACAACTTAGAATGTGATGCGAAGGTACCCATTTTATTCTTTGTAGTTTGTACTATTACGTCAAAAAAGGATGATGTTTGATGAGCATCAACATCTTCTGTTATATACTTGCAGTGGATTCCTGGAGATTCCACCCCAATTTCTGGGGCTACATTTTCATGTGACGGCCACAAAGTATACGCTGGCTTTATGGATGGGACTGTGGGCATATTTGCTTCGTCATCTCTCCAGTTGTTTTGTCAGATTGCTCTTCACACTATTCTTCCTTCTAGTTCAAGGTACACCTGATGCAGCAAATGTTCTCAATCAATAGTCTCCAAGCCTCAAATGTCATATTTTCTAATTTTTTGAATGTTGGAACCGAGTATCATTCATCTGCCATGGATACCTAAAGGTGTTTGCTCGTTTTTGCTTTGGGATCTGCAGCTTGGATGTTTATCCTGCCTCCATTGCAGCTCACCCGCAAAAGCCAAACCAGTTTGCAGTGGGACTAACAAGTGGTGAAGTCGTGGTGATTGAGCCTCCAGGTCCAGGTACTGAATGGTGGGTGGATTGTTCAGACGATGCGGTTTGAGAAAGAAGCCAACTTCCTAGAACTCTCCCTTTAATGTGTTAGACAAGAGATCAGTTATCTGGGTTATTTGGCTTGCTTGGTATAACCCACGGAGGGTGATGATTTGAGCTTTGTAACCATATCTTGTGGTCATTTTGGTCCCAACTTCCTTCATTTGCCTAGGCGGATTTGCGTTAGTTGATTTCTTCTTCTTCTTCTTCTTCTCCTCTAGTTGAAGACTCGGGCGAACCAACGTTTGTAGCTAAAATAAGCACGCGCAAACAATGTTATCGCTGACAGTGTCGTCGAGGGATTCAAACTTTTGAAAAGCAATAGTATATCAAGCCTCGTTGCCATCCCGTCGAAATTGAGTAACCAATGTGATTCAAGGTGTAAAGTTGAGTGATCATTCTGTTAAAAGTTAAGGGTTAGTGATCATTTGCATAATTGACACTGGAATAGTGGCATGTATGTAATGGACAAAAGTCACAACTTCGTTCTTGCCGGCCCACTATTAATATGCAATTAATGCTCGTCTTTTGTCTTTCCAAATTCGCAGGAACATATTTCCACACAAATTACAGACCACACTTCTACACCATCTTTCACTCGCCATCCACCTTTGCTGCTGCAGATGCGTAGCTGACGCTGCTCTCTCTCATGGTTTTGCACTGACTCGATTGCTCGTATCGAAGGAACTGTATCTTTATCTTAGTTGAGCAGTTCTTTGTCATCTGAATCACAGTTCAATGATATACATGGTGAGATGCTAGCCATCCTACAGAAGTGATTAGCTGACTAATAGATACTACAGTCCTTCCAGTTCACCGAAGCCACGTCAAAGGAATGAACAACTTCACTCTAGATCAATCATAGTGGAATTTGGACAAAGGTTTTGGCTGATGTTAGGAGGCACTTACATGGAGGAAAACACCGATGGGATGGCGTCCACAGATGGTATTCTCAAACTCCAGCAAATACTTTTTGAATGAATCTGGGTCTCCTGTCTCGATAATGTCCATGCCCATCTTATCCAGGGCCTCAATGGACTTGTATATCGCACCATGTTTGTTGTCATAGTGTGTGTAATTGAACCTAAGCAGCAATGTATAGTTAAGGAACAAATATTCATGAAAGAGCTTCAACGTAAGGCACGAAGGTTAATATTGGGAGTCGTGAGGACTTGAACACGTGATCTCAACGACAAACCAGCTCTGATACCATGTCATAAACCAGTTGGTCCCAATAACTCGAGTTGTTGGGAAAATGTTATGTTGAATCTTATACAGGCCCATGTATGGTACTTAACCACTTCCTTACATGGTCAATATCACCAAAGAGTCGTTTTATATGCTAGGGTTAGCCCCAAAGTTAACCAACTATGGTAAGTGCCCCAAAGCAGATTCAGCATTCAAATAAAAAACCATACCTTAGAGGAAGAAATAATGCTGAAAGGAAAGTAGTCAACCAAGTAAGATGTGGATGATATGTACCGTGTGCCCCAGTGGCAGAAATCTGAGGACACAGAAAAGAAGTTTTTGGGATCATCGATGTATTTTTCCAGCAACTTCCCGTACTTGGCTTCACTCTCGGCATTTAAAGCACCAACCAGAATCGGTACAACCTTCACTTGGTGCCTGCAGCGGAAGTGAAGGTTAATTACCAAGCTACAAAAGCAACAAAGGGAAAGCGGCAAAGGCACATCCAGATCAGAAGACAATTACCCTTTGAATACTTTGGCCAAATAAGGTAAGTGCATCTCCATGCTATGTTCTGCCTCGTCGACACGAAGATCCATCAACTCGAATTTTCCTGTAGCTTTAAGCTCCTCAATCACTGAAAGGGTGGGACGGAAGAGCATCATTTGATTAGTAAGATACTTAGCAGAATTGCACACATCATTGCACATGCAATGGGGAACCAAACCGCATCTTCAAAAGCGTGTTCAGCAATCGGCACTTTCTACTACAATCCTCCGTAAACAAGTGGCAGAAGAGCCATGATTTTGCATTTGATTTCATATTGCCTTTAGGATTGATTCCTATGCAGGTGAGAGTGCTTCTTTAATTATTTAGAATCTCTTTGAAAGTATGAGATTTCTTAGAATATTTTGAACTCTAGAAAAAGTATTTGAGCCCTAATATCTATCAGGCCTTATCACCAACTGGTGTGGCATTTCTTCCTACCCCATTTTCTATCGAAATTCCTAGCTTATATAGATTCTTCTATATCCCAACAACCTAACAATTCTGCAGTAACCCCTATGCACATCAAACATGGCACTACTGAATGTGTGATCCAACACATATCTGAATTACCTTCCTGATCAATAGGTAAGTCCCCAATTGGAGTTTTGTAAACCGTCGCAGTTGACAAAGCACATTTGGGAGTATAATAGTGATGAGATGGACCAAGAAGGAATACCCGAGAACTGAAACAACAAACAAGCACCCACCGACCGACGTATCAGCATCAAACCATCAGAGTCTTAAGATTCAACTTCCCAACAAGAAAGCAACCAAACCAATCTTGCCAGAATAGCATTCACTCGCTGCATGCTACGAAATGTGCCCAAAGAAATGAAGATACAAAGTAAGAAGAAGGGCAACGCACATGTTAGTAGGGTCGATATTTCCAAATGCATAAGCTGCTGCGCGGCCAGAATACGAGTAACCTGCGTGCCTGTGAGAGCCAGAGCCATAGAATTCAAGGAAAATTGGCCAACCCAAAGGGACAATTGAAAAGAAAAGGTTGAAGAATAAACATACGGAGCAATGACTCCACGAACATCAGATGACTTTGGCAATCCAGCAGCACTCAGCCACCCATCGAGTTCTTCTTCGAGCTTTCTAGCTGCGGATGTAACATGAAGACAACATCACAATTCGTCAATTACTGCCCTTTGTTAAGGGAGCTGGGGTGACATAGAATCACAAATTATACGGCTTTCCAAGTTTCGACATCTACATTTCATTGCTCGATCAACTGCAACAGAACCCTCCATAATAGCAACATGATAACAATTCGATTAAGCTTCCACATTCAAGTTTCCCCTAAACCCCTAAATTCAACCTTTAGTTCCACAGATTGCAGAGTTGGACCAGAAAGCGATTGTGGAAAGGGAAGAGGAGTGGCTTAAAACTTACGATTATCGGTGTACCATGAGCCAGCATGAGATGCCCTTCTGATGACCTCCATTATTGTACCAAGAATTGCTGTAAGTTCGATTCGATCCAATAGGGAACCCTAATTCTGGAAGGAAAGAATCTTTGTAGGTTAGCTCTTGTTGAGTGTTAATGATCAGAGAAAGAACTTCAGACTTGCTCTTCTTCAGCAACTGCCTTTTATAGTATAGGAAGCTTTTGAAGCGTCCAATGAAGTGTCCGAAATCCGAATAAAGGCAAAGAATTTGACTTTAAGCTATTATATTGATTTTAACTGATTTAAGTATAATAAATTCAGAATAGACAAGATTGTTTTAGGAATAATGAAGATTAGACTCGTATAATCTCGTATTCCATTAAAGTTGAATAGTTTATTATTATTTATGGACTTTTTTATGGTCTATCGACTTAAAATTTGTCTAAAATATCACATTACACAATTTTTTTATACTTAACATTCTTATTGAGGCTCACTTCGTTGCTCCGCAATTGATTAAGAAGGATGCAAAAAATCTCTTGTACTATTTGTAACATCCTAACTCTTTTTCTAATTTTTGGTTGTATCATAATAACTTTTTAAGAGGTAACCCAACCCTGTACTGCTCCCAAAATAAATATTGTCAATTAATATTGAATTGTTTCTTACGGATCGTTTGGTACTAAATGAATCAAGAATTACCTTGTAGAATTCATTGTCATATGAAATCTTGTGTTTGGTATGTCATATTCAAATCCTTAGAAATAAAATGAATTGTCGTGCAGAATTCATTGTCAAATGAATTTCTGTGTTTGGTATGTCATATGTATAAGTAATTTAGTTAATAAAAGAGGATAATTATATCATTCTATTATAATTAGTAAATACTTGTGGAATTCATTTGGAAATTCCATCTCAATTCATCGGAATTGCTATAACTAGTTCAAATTCCATAGAATTCAAAATTTAGAATTGAAAATAAATTCTTTTAAATACCAAACACAAAAATATTTCATTTCAAAATAAATTCCACAAAACTTATGAAATTCTATCTATCCAACTTAAATTTGTTTAAAATGTTGCACTTACCATCTATATTTTTTTGGTGTAACCCTTCTGGATGAACAAATACTCGAATAGATCTTTCATGGAGCAGGGCTCAGATTCATAAAGGCCTGACCAGTGATATCAGCCCAAGATGTAGGCCGCATGATTATTTTAAACCGACAAAAGAATCCGAGGCCCAAGACGACGAGCCCACCCTGACCATCTTTCCCATCTACATTCTCAATTCATTTCCCTTTCTCTTTCTTCTTCAGCGATTTCTTCCCTCTTTGTTCTTTTGATCTTTTCTTTTCTGCAATAAACTCCATTCGGATTCGAATTGGACCAAATCACAGCGAGAGGTGGGCGCTCTCCGTTCGCCTCGCCGGCCGTCTTGACGGTAAGTATCAACTGTATCATGAGCTCCTCTAGCAACAAATCGAGGAACTTCCGCCGCCGACTAGACCACGACGACTCCAATCCCAACGAAGCCGCCGCGGTCGCCCCTTCACCGCCTCCATCCCGCAAACCCGCGCCACCGGCACCTTCATCTGCTTCTGCTTCTTCCAAGCCGAAGAAGCTTCTTAGTTTCGCCGACGACGAAGGGGAAGACGACGATTCCGCCGCTGTCACACCTCTGAATCTTTCTTCCCGCTCTTCTGGTAGGCGTAAGCCTCCTTCCTCTTCGGCTTCTTCTTCTTCTCGACTCGGAAAAACTAGTTCCTCCCACAAGCTCACCGCCTCCAAGGACCGAGTTCCTCTTAGCTCCCCGGCTACTGCCTCCAATGTCCTTCCCCAGGCCGGGACTTACACAAAGGAAGCCCTTCTCGAGCTCCAAAAGAATACGCGCACTCTTGCCAAACCTTCCTCCAAGCCCTCTCCTGCCTCCTCTGAGCCTAAGATCATTCTGAAGGGCCTTCTCAAGCCCGCTCCTCCCTCTGCCCACCAAACCCTGGGAGCCCGCCATGATTCTGATAATCTCAACAGCAACAACGCAGGCGATGATGACGATCCATTTGAAGACCGGTTGGCGTCAATGGGTTTGGGGAAATCCAATTCCGGATTCATCCCCGACGAGGAAAGAATCAGGAAGATTAAGGCAGAGAGGGAGAAGAAGAGGCAATCCAGGGCTTCTGCCCCTGACTTCATCCCTCTCAATGGACCTTCTAATGATGCTCAAGGGTCGAGTGACGACGACGACGAGCTTGAGCTTAGAACCCGTGTTGCTTTGGTGGGCAAGAAAGAGGCCCACACTCATGGCGTTTTTGAAGATGTTGAGCATCTTCCCCCGGCTGCTGCTGTTTCGGCCAGATATAAGAACGTGGTTGAAGATGTTGCTAACGAAGGTGGTGATGATGAAGATGAAGACAAAATTTGGGAAGAAGAGCAGTTAGGGAAGGCCTTGGGGAAGAGAATGGATGATGCTTCTGCTAGTGCTACTACTAGAGTTGTTGCAGGTGGTATCAGCTCTCATAACACTGCTACGATGATGATGCCGCCACCACCACTACCACAGCAGCAGCATAGGGTCAGTAGTGCGTACCTAGACATCGGAGGAGGTTTTGGGGCATCTCAAGGGTTGGATAACTTGACAATTCCACAACAGGCCGATGTTGCTTTGAAGGCATTACAAGATAATGCCAGGAGGCTCCGGGTATGCTCTATTTTCTTGGCTATCATTCTGTTTTTTTGTGCAATTATGTTCACTTGGCATGATAGTTACAAGTTGCAACCTTTGTTCTCTGTTTCAAGCAAGAGCAATGATCCGATGAGTAGTCTAACTTTACCTATCTTTCTCCCTGTCTTGTAGGAATCCCATGATAGAACTGTTTCAGCACTAGAGAGAACTGACGAGAACTTAACTTCCTCGCTGGATAATATTACTGCTCTTGAAGGGTCCTTGTCAGTTGCTGGTGAGAAGTTCATCTTTATGCAAAGGCTTCGTGACTTTGTTTCTGTTTTATGTGACTTTTTGCAGGTATGAGTTCTCTAATTCTTTGTGTATGCTGAATATACATGATTTTTGCATTCTGATCTTGTTGAACATAATTCTAGATAGCAGCTTGTTAGCTTACTGGATTCGTTTGTAGTCTCTTTTTTCGCATTCATTTTGTATATGCACCTGTTCTGCACAGTGGAGAATGGAGATCATCAGATTACTCTTTTTAGTCACATCTTATCCAGTTCTCTAGTTCTGATATTACTATTTAGAAAAGGAGAGGGCTTGTTTGACTTCAACCAATGATTATAGGCATGAACGTCCCAAAAATTATTTTTCTGTTTCAACGGATTCTGCCTCTTAGGGCTTCTTTTCCGCCCTGTAAGTAATTTTGGTTGAAAGAGAGGTTCTATTCTGTTGGGCAAAGCTTGTTTATAGTGTCTGAAGATGCTTGGTGAAGGATTACACCTTTTAAGTGGTAACAAGGCATGTGACTTGTGAGTAGAACTCAAGGTCTGAAAACATTATTTTCTTTTAAAGAGCACTTCTTACCACTAAAACTTGTACTTCCCACTGCATTGAACTGAATTTTTTTAGTGCTTGGTCCGTTGTTTGTATCTAGTTACAGTTTTATCAGTAGGCATGGACTGTTGCTTGATATGTATATGCTTATTAGTTGTCTTTTTCCTTCTCTTTTTTCTCAGGATAAAGCAGCTTATATAGAGGAGCTTGAAGAGAGAATTCAAAAGGTTCAAGAGGAGCGTGCAGCCGCCATCTTGGAACGAAGATTTGCCGATGATCATGATGAAATGTTGGGAGTAGATGCAGCTGTCAAAGCAGCAATGTTGGTCTTTAAGGAACGTGGCAACTCTCCATTGATGATTAGTGCTGCTGCAAGTGCTGCACAGACTGCTTCGGTGGCCGTGAAAATCCAAGAAACAGCAACTCAACCAGAATTAGATGAACTGGGGAGAGATATGAGCATGTATAAGCGCATGGAGATGAAGCGACGGGCTGAAGCCCGCCAACGTAGGAGAGCTAAGTTTGATTCAAAGAGAATTTCATCATCAATGGAAGTTGATGACACTGCTGAACGGAAAATAGAAGGGGAGTCAAGCACTGAAGAGAGCGAGAGTGAGAGTGAAGCTTACCGGTCAAGTCGGGATAGGTGTCTTGAACCAGTGGATCAAATTTTGAGCGACGCTTCCGAGGAATTTTCCCAGCTTTCGGTGGTGAAAGAAAAATTAGAGAAATGGAAAAAGGAATATGCAGCGAGCTATCGGGATGCGTACATGTCACTCAGTGTGCCAGCAATCTTCTCTCCCTACGTGAGACTGGAGCTTCTTCACTGGGACCCTCTACGCAAATCTGATGACTTCTTTGACATGAATTGGTATCTACTTCTCGTTTGGAATGGTTGTTGATTTTGTTTGATTTTCTTGTTTTTGTTTGGGTGTGTTTGTTTTAGCAGTCTACCTCGCAGGTACATCTTGGGTAATTCCTTAAATTTGTTTTGGACTAAACAGTTGTACTTTTCTTGTGCAGGCATTCTCAGTTATTCAACTATGGTATACCAGAGGGAGCATCTGATTTGAATTCAGAGGATTCTGACAGCAATCTTGTTCCTCAACTGGTGGAAAAAATTGCTGTCCCAAAATTGCATCACCAAATTGTTCACTGTTGGGACACGCTCAGTACACTGGAAACTGGAAATGCCGTTGCTGCCACAAGCATGGTGATAAATTATGTTCCAGCTTCAAGCCGGGCTCTATCAGAACTATTAGTTGCGGTCCACACTCGACTGGCTGATACAGTATCCAACATCGTGGTATGTCTTTTATGAAATGTCAGAGTTCTTAAAAAGACGTTTACGCCTTTCTTAAAATGTATGGATTCTGAAGTTGAAACTGTTACGTGCTTTGAATGTAGGTTCCTAACTGGGGCTCACTCGTTCTAAAGGCAGTTCCAAATGCATCACGTGTTGCAGCATATCGGTTTGGAGTCTCAGTTCGTTTGATTAGGAATATCTGCTTGTGGAAGGATATCCTAGCGATGCCAGTTCTAGAGGAGCTTGCTCTGGATGAGCTCTTACGCAAGAAGGTCCTGCCTCATGTTCAAAGCATTTCGTCGGACGTTCATGATGCGGTTGCTAGAACTGAGAGGATTGTTTCTTCTTTGTCTGGGGTTTGGACTGGTCGAAATGTCACTGGGGATAGCAGGTACTTGCCGTCTTTTCTCTGTTTGTTTCAGCTTTGGCTGTCTTCTTTTTTAAGTTTTAAGAAAATAAGTGTTCCTGGGAAAGATTCTACAAATAGCCTGACTTGGTGGGATATGAAATCTTTATTCCGTCGTCTGACAAGCACACCCGATTTGTTTCTTTCTTTTTGGTTATGTACTGAGCATATGTCTCCGTGATCTGTATTGCAGTGGCAAGTTGCAGTTGCTGGTGGACTTTGTGGTATCACTAGGAAGGACGCTGGAGAAGAAGCAGGCGGCTTTGGGGGTGAGCGAGGGGGAAACTAATGGGCTTGCTCGACGGCTGAAGAAGATGCTGGTTGAGCTCAATGACTACGACAATGCACGACGCATTGCAAAAGCCTTCCGGCTGAGGGAGGCTTTGTGAGAACGAATGCAAGTTGCAATGAAGGAAGAGCGTAGCTAACTGAGGTGAGCGAGGCGATGAAGGGGCTTGATTGGAAAAGAAGATAGAATAGTAAAAGGCCCTTTTAATGTTGTGCTTTTTGTTCGATTGTAGTAATCTGTTCGCAACTTGCTTTGACCTTGTTTCTATTTTGAAGCGGAGAATTGAATGGTTGTTGCAATACAACTTCCATTGTCATTTCAACTTATCGTAAAATAAGCAAATGAAAGATTTTGGCGTTAATCCAACAATGTTGCAATCTAAATGGTGATGCTATTAGTTCCCTATCCTCATCTGAAACCTATTGCTATTAGATTACAGATATCGCCATAGTACGGAAAGAACATATCCATGAATTCCATCCACAATAAGAAAAGACCAATAACAATTAAATGCTATTCATAACAGTAGGAATATCACAAGCATCAAATCCCCAAATATACAACAAAGACCAAAAGGCAGTGGCTTTTTGCCCTTTGCCACCACTCTTTATTGTTTCTCAGAAACGAAACAAATCACAGCATATACTCTTCTTCTATTTCCACCCCTTTAACTTACACTATAACCCCCCAACAACAACAAATAAAAAAGCCAAAACCACCCAGAACAGGAAATGCAACCAAAAGTATGGAAGTAAACGTGAGCAACATGTGCTGGTTCTTCACAACCCAAATCCAAAATCCCCTCAAAGCCAAAATGGAGGGCGAAAGCTCAATACTTTCCAAACCCAGAACACCAAACTCTCCAACCATCATTCGCTCTCCACGAGCAAACAATAGCTGTAAAACTGAAACTTACCCAAGTTCCAAATCCAATAAAAGAAAAAAGACCTGCAATCACAAACAAAACAAGAGTCAGTTCCCCATGGGCACTCAAAGCATGTATAGAAAAGCAGCTCAGATAATTTCCAGAGCCATAGGAATAGTAGAAACTAGAACAATAGATGGTAATGCATATAAACCTAGTTTTTTAGCTCAAATTTGTTATGCAGGAACGCATGGAATTAAAGAATTTTGATTCATACCTGCAACTTCAAGATATCTAAACGAAACCTGGATTAAAATTGGTTCTCATTTATGGACTATCTAGAGAAGGGTTAATAGACATGCTGAAACCATCCAGAGACAGCAGATGTCCAATTTGACAGAATGAATTATATTAGATAAATTATGGACATTACTAGGATACAAGTCCGACGAAAACCACAGAAAGCTGCTTATAAATGCAGAACACACAAATGTCGACTAAACAAAGCACCAACTAAAGAAACCACTGGCCAACAACACTAATTTCTAGAAGCTTCAAATCATACTCAAAGCAACCCAGCATCGGAAAAATAATTTATCAAGTGAAACTTATCGTCAATCCGATGTACAGCAAAGTTAACTTCAACCTATTTTCCTTCAGAAGTCAGCAACAAATACAGCTTATCTGCAGTGGATAGATTTAGTACTTCATCACATAAATCTCTGTTTGTTCATAGTTGAGTTCTTGACCTAAGATGTTTCAACTTTCAACCACAACTAGTTGGAGTATTTTTTTAAGTCATATTCTATGCACATACAATCAACTACATAGGCTAGGCACCCTACTAGTTAGCATATGCATGGACTGATATCAGATTTTTATCAGAGCATCCTCATTTTGGATTTTGATGGAACTACTACAAGCACATAATTCCAACCAAACTCTATCTTAGTGCCTTGGCTCGCGACCCTAAAAATTAGTTTTCCAGGATAACTAGAAAGCAAAGGAAGAGGATATGGCATGACTTAAATCCAATAGTTCAAAGTTACTAGATGAACAGATAAAATGCTTACCTATATTTGACTGGTAACAACGTAACCCTTTTGCAAGATGGACCACCAAAAAATCTGAAGAATCTGTATAACAACACTCCAAGAATGCCCAACTACCCATAAAGTATCAAAATGACTCCAACATATAGTGAAGCTTTGGAGCCCGGCGACGAAACAATGGCTCTAACCTAAAAGATGGAACACCAATCTCCCACCTCTTAGCATCATACATTTCATTCCATGCTTGTACTATCTCATCAATTTTGAAGCTCAAACCTGCCATAGAAAAGATCAACTACTTAAAATCTCAACATTTCTATAGTCCTGGCACATGAACAAAAAGAAAAATGGAGACAAATTAGCAAGTTGTAAGTCAGCATCTGTATACTTACCGTCAAAAGCTGTTACATTGGAACAGTGGTTCTTTATCATAACTGCTATATCTGTTGGAGAAGCTCCAGCAAGTTCAAACTTTTCAACGGCAACCTCGAGACATTCTTCCCAAGTTGGTAGCTCTAGCCTATACTCCACAACAGAACGTTCATACAGCATAGTTCCCCATAAGAGGTTTATCTGGGAGCTCATGTTTGCCGCCTGCTCTGCAGCTTCTTCAGGTGATAGTTCTTTCAATAGATTGTCCATCCCTAATTTCTCTAGCTGAGATTTATACTTGTCAAATTTGGAGATTCCATTTTGGCGCTGCTCCCCAATCTCCTCCCACATCTGCATACCTCTTTCCATGCAGTCTTCAGCCTTGTTGTACAGGTCTAGCACCTCCTCAGAAGGCCCATTCTCCAAATCGATCTTGCTACCAATAGCATGATACCAACAAAGCTTTGCTTGCTCAAATTGCTGCTGGCCAAGTGCCAGAAGACTTTCATAGAAATCTGGTTTCAATTTAAGGGCCTCGCGGTATCTCTCTCCAGCCTTCATATATTCAGTCTTCCCCCATTCATAGGCACTCTTAATTAGTTCCAGTAAGGTCTCCCTGGAACCGTCTTCAGGGAAAAAGACCCTCTTCCTAGCTCTTGACATGTGAACATTCCCCCAATTGAATAAGGCCAATGCTGCCATCTCTTGAAATTTGTCCGCAGCAATATCAAACAGCTCCTGGGCTTCTTCACTTGTTACAGTATCCTCCATTGCCTCTGAGTAAAGCTTCATCCCCAGTTCATGAATATCCAAATAACTATCAGAATCGAACCCGACATGGTTCTTGAACAGTCGCGCAAACTGGATAATCCAATCATCGATAGAAGCAGCCTCGTTTTGGGGGTCATTGCTTCCTCCCCCACCATTCCCATTCTCAGGAACAACAAGGGTTTGTTCCTGGCTGCCAACATTTCCATTCTCCTCTTTCTTTGTCCGCTCATAAGCTGGCTCTAGATCCAGACTAACCTCGACAACATAGAACTTAAGCGATCCCTGTGAACCAATAGATGCTTCTGCCAACTTCAGCTCATCCGTGGACGTAATAGTAACCAAATCACCCTCTTGGTCCCTATACTTCACAAGAACACCTTTCAAGCCAGGAAACCTGTCTAGAACTATATCCCTTAGCAACCCAACAGAACAATTCGCAGGCAACTGTGCCCACCTTATGTCTTCCCCTAAGACCAACTTCACGGTCTTGGAAACCGGCTTCTGTTCTTCTTTAACCTCTTTCGTCACCACTCTCTCAGCCTGAACAGTCTTCACAATCACCTCTTTCGTCTTAATCACAGGAGTCACTTTCTTATCCTCCACAACAACTTTCTCCTTCTCATCTGCCTTCTTCTCCTCTATTTTATCACCCTTCTTCTTCTTCTTTATCTTCTCTTTCACAACTTTCCGCAAACGAGAGGCACCAGCAACCTTCTCTGCCTCCTCAGCAACAACGGACTGTTCATCAAAACTCATACCCTTATCAGCCATAGCCTGTTTAATACTCTCCAGACTCTCAAGGGCAGCAGAGTTACTGGGTTCCATGGCCAAAACATGCTTAACATCTCTCCAAGCCAAATCCAATCGATTCAAGGCCTCATAACATCTAGCTCTCTTCAACAAGGCCTTACTGTATTTGGGAGAAACCTCCAAAGCCAAATTACACTCGTTAATAGCTCGAGGATACTCACCAAGACCCATTTGCATATAGCAACCGGCCATATTGCTGCGCAGATAAGCAACATCGATGTGGTTCTTGGGAAGTAGCTTGACAGCCTTCTCATACTTCAACATGGCCCCTTCATGGTCATGCTTCTGGAACAGCCTGTTGCCTTCTTCTTTGAGCTCCAGTGCCATACTGATGAAGATTGCTGTGTCCTCGTCAAAGGCCTTGGAAGATTTGTCGGAAGATAGCTTGGGCTGCTGCTTGCTGCTATCGCTTCTGGGCGTTTTGGGCGTTCTGGGGGATTGAGGAGTAGTCTTCTTCCCCGTTGGCTTCCCCATTTCCCGATAGGAACTTTTTCTTCAGGGATCTACGGAGTCAGCAAAAACCAGCAATCAAAGACAAACCCCAGGAGAAATAACAAGTTGCTTTTCGACTCCTATTTGATTTCAATCAAAACCCCCAGCTGCCCCGGAAGATCAGGAAAACGAGAGGCCACAAAAGCCGAAACCCAGGACAACAAAGGGCGGGAAGAAACGGAAACTGTGCGGAAAAATGAATAAAGCTCCCGACTTTACAAATTCAACGAATCAGGGGAAACGGTGAGAAAGAATTAGAAGAAGAAACAAAGGAGAAAAACAGGGGAAACCCAGAAGAAGAGAGAGATAAAGAGGGGACAAGAGGAAGAAAAAAGGCCCCTTTTTATATCGCTCTGGAAGAACTCTGAATCAATTGTCTCTGTAGGACAGAGATTGACAGAGCCAATCCAGGTTGACAGGGAGAAAGGTCAAATTTGGTAGGGGGTAATTTCTTGGTGTGCAGAAATGGAAAGGTAGGCTTCAGGAGGGAAATGAAATGAAGCAGGGAATGAAGGAATGCGATGGAAGAAGCTGCAGAACAGAAGAACAAAGGGCTTTATTACAGAGACAGACATTCAATGAATATAATAAAGAATTTACATTTCAACAACGCGGCCTGCTTAAGAATTTCATTTCTTTCCTTTTTGTTCTGTATTGATTGGTTGCTTCAATTCGTATCTCGCGGCTCTCTAGGGTTTCGTCTTTCCTGCCAGGCCAGCCGCCTGCCCTCTTCTCTTCCGGTTGAGAATTTAGGTCAACGTTCGGTGGCATTTGTCCTTTGCTCCCCACCACACCAGTCTTTTCTTTCCCTTTTTTCTCTTACCATTTTAGTCTCCCCAATTTCTCATTTTCACATTCCCGCCCCTACAATACAATTTTTTTCCTTTCATGTTTTCCTATCTATATCACAATTTGCGGGTATGCCCGTATCGCTTTGTATATTTCTTGACCACGTTACATCTTAAAAGTTACAACAAAAGACCTTAAAATAAAACTCAAGTTTCAATTCACGTAATCAAAGACCAATTAGGACAGAATCTATTTGTTGGTTATTAGACAACTCCACATAATCAAAAGTCTTGTGTCAGTGTGTTGCTAAATGAGCATCTCTACTTTCAACCGTCGTGTTGAGAAGAATGTAAGTGAGATGACGAGCCACCTCGAGCAGAATCGTGCCTTCCAAAACTAGCTCTGGCAATACATGAAAATGGTAAGGGATTGGAATGTGTAAATCAACATTTCGAGGGGCTGAATTGAAAGCAGGAAGTAAAATGTGCAAGCTTGTCCGTTGCTGGCAGGCTACGGCTACAGCCTACAGGCAAATCCAACGCACGTTGGCCTTCTTTTGTGTCATATCCCGTTATCAAAGAACTGGTCCGCAATGATTTTTTTCATAATGGTCCGCAATGATTTCAGTTCAGTTTTATAATATGGTAAGTAGCAGTGTAATCTGAATTTTACTCTTTCTATGATGACATGAATATCTTCGACAGAACTTTGGCATGACCATATGTTCGAATTTGAATTTTTTTAGTGAAGTTTAAGGGCTCGTTTGCTTGTTGAATTTGAAAATGAGAGTTTTGAGTTTTAAAAATCTTTAGATTTATGATAGATTTGTTGTATTATGGATTTGGAAGAATATATTGTTTGTTTAGTAACTTTTATCATGGATGTATGATGGACTTGTCTCGCAAATTTGCCTTCTATTATCAAATCCCAAATGAAATGTGAGATTTGAAAATCCGCGGGGTCTACGGATTTGGATTAAAAAAATGGTCCAAATCCGTGGCCCCCACGGATTTGTGTCTCTTAGCAAACAATGAACTTGTGCTAAGTCCTTGATGCTTGGGATTTGGGTGCCAAATTCAACAAGCAAACGATACCTTAATACTTTGATCATTATTTATTCCAGTTTTGTTAAAACCTGTTTGAGCCTAGATACCTGTGAACCCGGATCTTCGTGCGTCTGAAGCTCCCCTGAATCTTTGAAGGTGCCTCACCTGCACACCACACGCACAGAGGATGACACATGAGCCTGTTAATCCTCCAACGATCAAATTAGTCTGAATTCTAGAGAGAGAATCCAATCTACATAAATGTTACCTACCAACACTATTTATACTCATCAAACCTTTCGACAAGGCTCCTTCCTTCCCGCCCTACGTCAGCATGGCATTTAATGCTCTGTACCATCCCACGACTAGGCGTCCCGACCATCTTGTCAGCTTTTTCTGACAACAACTAGACGTCCAGGTGGAGACCATCGACAATTTGTACTATTTTGGATCCTAACGGGTTTTGTCGCTACGCCCCTCCATTCTCCTACGGCTACCCCGTTGTGGCTTGTTGGGCCAATCTACTCTTTGAACCCTATCGGACCTCTGCATAGTCCTATTCCTTTGTAATACTCCCACCAAAACCAAATATTATTTTCTCTCCTTAATGCTAAACATGAATAACTAAATCGACAATGTTCTGTCACTTATTCTTTGTGGCACATATTTCTCGATATATTTCTCGTAACAGATCGCAGGATTTTGGATTCTGCTCATTTCAACTTTGAAGCAAGCTCGACCCATTTCTGGTCAGGATGAGAAAATAGAAATGGTCAGCCGACCTGGAAAAGGACTGCACAAGTAGACATAGCAGCCGAAAAGGGCTGGAAAATATTCAACTTGTATTACCATCTCTATTATTAATCATCAATTCAGTCATCCGCGTATCCCCTTAAATTGGTAATTCAAAACAAATATTCGACTAGCAGGTCAAATGAATAAACTGAAAAAATGTTGTTTAAGAATCTTTATGATTATGTCTCTAAGTTAATCCATGAAAAATGGTAATATTTATTTTTTATCTAAATATTTTCAGATTTTTTTGTATTATTCAAACCTATTAAAATTCTATTAAATCTAAATCTTTCATAATGCATTAAAATATTAACAATTTTTATGTTATCGTTAATAATTTTGTAACTTTTTTATTAGTTAAAATATTAAATTTTTTGAATGTTGACCTTCATGAGTCTTTTTCAAGTCAATATCATGTTGCCACTAAGGCCCAAGAGGATGTCGAGTAGAGATGGATGACGAAACTTGGGCTTCCAACATTGGGCGGGCGGGCGAGTGGGCCTTATTTCAGGCAACTCCCTATATAGTTGATACTTGATCCCATTTCGGCATTTCCTATAACTTGCAAGTAGCCGGACTTTTTTTTTAGTCAAATTACACAAATATTTTACGTTTGTCATATGAATTGTTTTTATTTCGTATTCGTCACTAATTTTAAGAGTCGTTTCTTCGTTAGTCAACAATTATTATACTCTGTTAAATTTGTCCTACATGGCAGTCAACTATAAAGTTTAATTGTTAACTAGATGACATAAAAATTTGAAAAAATATTTTTCAGCTCATCACTCCACTTACTTTGTCCATATAATTTTGTTAGTAAACATATTTTTCACTTTACTACATTTCATTTGTTGTTATAATATTAACATAAATGTAAGTATAAAAGTGTAGCCCTTATCACAAATTTTTCAAAGGGTTAATACCACTAGGAAACCCGAACTATTAACTTAAGTGTCATTTGTGTCCTAAAGCATTCGATATGACAATTGTATCCTAAACTATTTCTCCGTTAGAGTTGACCGGTGTTGACCGTTAGTTTTTAACAGAAAATCCAGTAAGCGCTTATGTGGCATCTGACGTGGAATTTTTATTATTATTTATTTATCCTTATTGCTTAAAAAATAATTAGAATGAAAACAAAAATGCCTCCAACCACTTTTCCCTAACCATCGAGACTTCTTTCCTTCTTCTACTTCCTTCCCCCTTTTCCTTTCTTCTTCTTCTTCTTCTTCTTCTTCTTGCATCTATTGACGATTTTCGCGTCATCAATCGCCGACCGACTCCCGCGGCCATCAAGCTCCCTTCTTCACCCCCTTCGATCCTCGCCCCACGGCATCAACAACAACTTAAATGCCTCCCTTCCCCGACGAACGCGCCGTCTTCCCCGGCGAACGCGCCACCCCGCCGGAGCGCCGGGTCGGAGTGGCGAACCACCTCCCCATCTGAGCAAAACCCAACTCGAACAGACTGTCATCGTGTCGTGGCGGTTCGAGCTCGACGAGGGCTCCCTCTACCTCCAGCTCCGCCACGGCTTCTCGTCGGGAACAGAGGTCTGGTACATCGGTTGCCTGATACCTGAAATCGAATCGAAACATCATGAGGAGATTTCCCAGATCTACAATTAGGCTGCTCAGAAATCGGGGGAGAGTGTTCTTCAACACATAGGCTGCTCGGAATCGAAACTCGAATCCAGATCTACAATTAGGCAGGCGAGAGTGAGGGAGGTAGGGGAGGAAGGCAATCGAGAGTGTTCGGCGGGTCTTCAATACATAGGCAGCCTTCATCGCCTGATGGGAGCCGCTGCTCCATCTTCCTCCTGTCTCTTCAACACCAATGTCGTCCGGCGGGTCTCCGAGTCCGGGAAGGCCCTGTTGATTGTGTTGTTGTTTTCACAGAGGATGAAGAAGGGTCTCCCACCAGCGCAGTCGATTTGGAATTGGCGGAGGGAGGAGCAAGCTTGTTCAAAATTTGAGCGGCTATGGTGAATATGAGATGAGGAAGAAAGGGATTAGCTTTAATTTTTATTTAATTTTAATTTAAAAATAATAATCTTATGTGGCAGCTGACGTGGCGCAGATGTGGCTTCCACATATGTGCCATGTAACCAACAATCAACATTTTATGGTTGACCGTTTGGTCAACCGTTATCTATAACGGTCAACGAAATTGTCAGGACGTAAATGACACAAAACTACCAAACGTAGGGACACAATTGTCATATCGAATACTTTAGGACACAAATGGCACAAAGTTAATAGTTCGGGTTTCCCAGTGGTATTAGCCCTTTTTCAAAGTATAAAATTAAACACACGCGTCTACCCTTTAACCCCCACCATATAGCATACGATTTCCAAAACATTTTGATCACTTATCTGATTCTTTTCTTGTATGGGATCTTGAGAATTATTATTATTTTGTTAAGAATGATGATTTATCTTACGTAGATTAAAAGAACTTTTTGTGGTAACTTGCAGTAATCAGATATTTTCTTATCTAAGATTTTCTAAATTTCGAATTTTAAATATTTTAAAAATTAATTTTTGGTGGGAACCCAAATATATAAAGTTTATGGATCCATCACACAAGCACCCTCGGCCCAGATGGGACCTGAAAACGTCTTTCATCCCTCCCCCTCGTTGGCTCTTGCCGCCTTCCTTAACAAGCCCTCGAGCCTTTTTTGCGCTGCTTAGAATCCGTCGATTTGACCCCATATGTAAGGAACAAGTTGAAAAGATGGGGAATGATGGCTTCAGAAGAACTGCTCTCCGCTACAGGAACTTTGCGTGGGATTCAAACAGACCCTTGGGAATGGGTTTCGTAGAAGAGAGAGTCTATCGAAATTTGTGGCATCGTGAGTTGTGTCAAATTTCAATTTTATCTTTTTCTCTAAATTGAATTACGAAATTGAAAATTTTAATTTTGACAAATAATTACCTAAGGATATGTCAGCCACATAAGCTATTTTTGTTGACTCGTTAACGGTGAAAATTGCTAACATAAAAAATAGTGAAAATGATTGACTATTAGTATTAACAATTAATGCAAAAATGAGATAAAAATTGTCAATTTTTTCAAAACTTAGCCTAGATTAGAAAGTTTAGGCAGAAAAATATCATTCAAATCAAAACTCGATCAATATATGATATTATCGCTATAATCTATATTTGAATGGTGGACTAGTGGGGCTAATTAAATCCCCAAAGTGGCGTCACCGCATATTCTCAGTGGGCCAATTTTGTCCATTTTAATTGGGTTGTGTAGTGGAGAGTAAATATTGGGCTTTTTCTGCTTTTTTTAATAGTAATCCAGTTGGCAACATAACCGACTTTAAGCTCCCAGAAGTCAGAAAAGTGTTTCGTGGAGCGTCCTTTTTTATTAAAAAAATACAAGTGGCCACGAAATTTATGCATGCGTCCAGCTGGCAGGGCAGGTCAGCAAAAAGTATAACTCGTCCACCACGTGGCACGTAAACGTGTACACCTAGAAATTGCTTGGAGGCTACGCCGGAACCGACTTCAAACCTCCTATTGCAATTATAAATAGCTGACAAGACATCGTGTTCCTCCTATTGTTACCGTTGCCCCCAATAAGCTTCCATGGGATCTCCAAGGACGAGCATCGATGGAAATTAGGTAAACAATCTCAGTTTGGTTCTTCCTTTTAGGGTTTTCTATGAGGCTTGAGTTTGGAGAAGCATTTCACCGTCTCTATTCCTTGTTTATTCCTGTCTGCTTCAAGAATCTTCTCCTCGTTCAAGTACAGGGGAAAAACTCTTCCCTAGTTCCCTTCTTGTTTTCTATTTGTCCCAGTTGCCCTAGAAATCTATGAAATCTTTGTACGAAAGATATCATTCTTTTTTATCTGGACGCCATTACCGGTCGCCGCTCTCTATCCTTCACAGATTAGTGTGATGCTCCAAGTAGTTGCTGGTGTCCCCGATGATTTTACGATTGTGATAAACAATAGAATGTATGTGTGAAATTGTTACTCCGATGACAGACGACAAATGATAATAAGCTTCGAGGGTTGAATTTTCTGATGCCATCACTTCTCCAGTTGAGGTATGTTTTCGGATTTATCCCTTTCCATTGGTTGATCATAAGAGGGCGTGAATTGAAGTGGTTTTTTAAACCACTCTGTTCGTTGCAATAATTGTTTGGATAAGCTAATTAGTCGTTGGAATCACATTATTGATGGGTTTTCATGTTGTTTCCTGTACGCAAAGGTTTATAGCTGATAATGAATTTGCTATGTTGATTGACGCGTTCAAACCCACTCTGTACTGCTCCTTTACTTTAGCAATCAGTTGCAATTTTTGTTGTATCATTCCTCCTGAACCTCAGCTGTAGTGGGTGTGGTTGTTGATATTCTTCAGCTGCATACTGTTGCTGCTATCCCTGTATATAAACATACATTGAATAACACACAAGTCTATTCTAAGTCTATTTCACATAGCTAGTGTCTGGACTATGCAGAGCCTGTTGGGATTCTTTTGAATTGTTGCTTTTGTTGAGAACTTAAGTGAGACAAAATTCACTATAAAAATTGAGCCCTTTTAATCAGTTGAAGGAAAAAAGTTTTCCAAATCTTGCTCCTGCCTCTGGTCTCGCGGCTGAAGCAAGATCAATAACGTGTTAGCCCTGACGGTTGTATAGTACATTCAGACAAAGTGAAGAGGCATTCTAAGACATTGTTACTTCTTTAATTCTGTAAAAACAGTTGCAATGGGGTCCGAGGAGTGAGTTGGGCTCTTTTGGTATTCCCAGGTGCTCTTCTGCCCATCTATGAATTTGTTTCTTTAAGATGTATGCAAGTGGGGTCCTAGATGAGAACTTTTTTCGAGTTGCTCCTCTGCCCTGCATATCGTTTTGGTTGCTGTGCTTCTCTGGGGTACTCGATGGGAGTTAATCCTTATGCTCTGCTTGTTATCTTGTTGGTTGTTCCGTGGTATATGTTAATGGGGTCCTAGAAAGGAACTGAAACTAGTCTAGTTGCCTTTCTGCTCTATTAATTAATTTTGGTGGCTACTCCGGGGTATATGCTAATGGGGTCCTAGAAAGGAACTAAGACTAGTCTAGTTGCCTTTCTTCTCTATTAATTAATTTTGGTGGCTACTCCATGGTACATGCTAATGGGGTCCTAGAAAGGAACTCAGACTAGTCTAGTTGCCTTTCTGCTCTATTAGTTAATTTTGGTGGCTACTCCGTGGTATGTGCTAAAGGTGTCCTAGATGAGAACTAACAGTTCCCTTATGCTCCACAGTTTCAGTCCTAAAAGGAAATTAAGCCTTGTCCAACTTTTCCACCAAATGGGAAAAACTTGTATGTCTCTGATGCCTATTTGTCCTAATTTGTCCTCTAGTTGTCCGTTGGTGCCTGGTGGTTTGAATTTGATTAAGGATATGATGCTAAATAGTAGGGTCCTAGAAGGGGGTACTTCTGGATTGCCCTTCTGCCCACTTGAACATATCAGTTCACATTCTACGGTGGAGTCCTAGAAGGGAACATGATTAGACTTGTTGCCCTTTTGCTCCACCTAACACATCATTGTATTTTGTAATGCTGATGTGACTTCCGATCCTTAAAGAGAATTGTGCCTAGTCCCGCTTGCTCATCCTCCTAAACTATCATAAGTCTTGGTACAATATGCTTGTGATGCCATGAAATGTTTCAGAAATAAAATACGGTGTGAGTGAACGTCCTTTTGGGATGTGGGTGCTGGTTGAACTTTCAGAGGGAAATTTTGTTGCTGGTCTCGTATGGGTTACTGCTGGCTTGCGCTTTGGAATGGAGAATTAGCCTTGAAACTTCGTTTCAAGTTAATAGTTTGCATCAAATTATCCTGTTGGTTTAGTTGGAGAATTATCGTAGTATGTTGATATCTTGATCATTCAGAAGCATTGGAAGAGAACTTTATTCTGGTATGGGTTACTGTTGGCTTGCGCTTTGGAATGGAGAATTAGCCTTGAAACTTCGTTTCAAGTTAATAGTTTGCATCAAATTATCCTGTTGGTTTAGTTGGAGAATTATCGTAGTATGTTGATATCTTGATCATTCAGAAGCATTGGAAGAGAACTTTATTCTGGTATGGATTTGTTGCCATTTTGAGTTGCCGAAACTATAGTGTCATGCGGGAAAGCTGGGTAGGAATCTCTGAATTTTGTATTGGCGTTGTGTATCCAATATGATTACAACAGTAGGCTTTTCTTCTTGCTCAATATCAGAATTCTTGCTCGAACAGCTACCCTTTCTGAATTTGCTGGATAAGATTGGTTTTGAAAGCATTTGTGGAAATGGAGTCCCATGGTTATGAAAATAAAGGGAAGGCTATACTTGGCTATGCGTTTATTGTCTGTTATGCTCTTCCTGGAGCATATCGATTTATGGTTTGATATGACGGGTTTTATCCTTCTTTTTTCTGGTTTTATACTCTTTAATAGTTGCAATCAGTGGGAGTATGCCCTTGAAGTACTCTGTTGCTATTGGGGTTTTTGGCCGAATGGTTGCTTATGTTGGAAATTTGGTGTTCAATATATTCATCCCCAAGTCCGAGTCCAAATTTGATCACCTGGTTTATCACGACTTCCCAATCTTGTCCCGCCTCTAGTCCCGAAGCTCATAATAGATGGCTAACATATGAGTTTACACAGCAACAACTAGTGTAAAGGAGTAAGTAATAGAATGTCAAGGCCGAAGGTCCTAAATATGCAAATGTCTCTTCATATACAAGCATGGGGTACTGCATGCAAAAGAGTATGAATCTTACCTTATTAGCTTTCCTTGTGCATTGTTTTGGGCAGCCTTACAGATAGCTAAGGCCTAAGAGGTTGCAGAAGATTAAGAGTACCTTATTGCAAATGAGGCTGCATCTTTCTATGATCCGTTCTTTGTCACTATGAAACTTCAGTGGGGGAAGTAAATTGGTTATTAACCAGTTCTTAGTGATTAGGTGCCTCACTGGTATCTAAATCTAAAGTGATGCGCTTTAGACTTTGTTTGTAACCTCTGTGAATCTGCTGGAATGAGTTATTTTACTTGATTTAATAGAGTTTGAGTCCAATGGGTGGTTAGGGTCGTGTTACTGTTAATTTTCTGCGAGTTTTATAAGTGTTGGTTATCGAGCTTTGTTCCCTGAATTATATTTCCCTGGAGATCATTTGATCTTTTAAGAAGAGTTGTGGCTAAAAGGTTTCCTGCCTGGATGGATGGTATTTAACATGTCTTCCATTGGTTTTGTCCTCTAACCAAGTTCAGTGTCCTTTACTGTGTATCAATGCGTTTAACTGGGTAATTACCTATATATTGAAGAATCTTGTGATGAAGCAAACAATCAAATCATTTAGGGAATAACAGGACCCTTGAGATTAGTATTGTTTAATGTGGACTTCATAGATGCAAATGGATTTCCATCTAGATGCCTTTGGCAGTTCAAGCAGGCTGCAGATGAGGCTCACCATATTCTTTCTAGCTCTCTGTTCATCTCGTAGGTGACTTGATTCACTACAATATTTTTCCTCTAGTTGGTTTCGTCTGTGGATGGGTTGGTTGATTTTGAGTTTCTCATGATAAGTAGCCTATTCTACTTTGATAACCATCTTGACTAACAACTATTGCACTATATAGGTCTTTTCTTTAGCATTACAGTGTCTCCAGTGCAAGTAAAAAGCTCTTGGAACAAGAAACAAAGTTTTCTGGGAAACTATCATGATAAAACCAATGTGCTTGTTCGATGTGTGAACTTCTTACATTTGCGAGTCTTGGGAGGGAAAGACTCATAAATCTGCTCCATTTACGGTGCCAAACCCAGCAGCTACTTAGAATATGCTTGTTGTATTGATAACAAGAAACAAAGTTTTCTGGGAAACTATCATGATAAAACCAATGTGCTTGTTCGATGTGTGAACTTCTTACATTTGCGAGTCTTGGGAGGGAAAGACTCATAACTCTGCTCCATTTACGGTGCCAAACCCAGCAGCTACTTAGAATATGCTTGTTGTATTGATGCGATCCAAGAAAACAGCTGAAGGGGAAGTTTTGTTTTTGTGATTAATGGCGTTCATGTGAGCTATTTATTTAGTTCGACTGCTGGCTTCATCTACTTTTACTTGATTCAACAGTTGAAGTACCAGAACAAAATAGAGTTTATAGGTTTATTCATCAGGTGAGCCTTGGGATAATTCTGAACAGTGCTTGATCCTTGTGTTTCCTCTTTTCTACATGTCAATATTAACTTGACGTTGGAGAGACTCAATTAATGTCTATGGAGGCAAATCTAACGGGAAAGTTCAGTGTTGGATTCTTTTCAGCTTGGTTTGAAGTAAGTTGGGTTGTTGTTGCCTGAAATGTTGCTTTCCAGTTCAGCCTATAGTGATTGCATTTGGAAGGTTTGTACATATGGTTCAAATCCAGTTCCTGCACTGCATAGAACCTCACCTTCCTTGCCTCTGGTGATAATTTGGAGAAAAGGGGTAGTACATCTGGTACCACCTGGTTCCTGCTCCACTTTCCTGGCCTGCAGTGACAATGTCTGTTTTGGAAATTTCTCTATCGGAAGATCTATGGCCTTTGATGGATCTCTCCTTTCCAAGTTCTAAATGGGAAAAGTTCGCTACAATTCTATGAATCAACAATTAGATGGGTTAAATTTTACTAGTGTGATAAATCCTATAGAATGCTTTGGAGTGTTCAGGAGAAAATGGTTTATGCAGGTGGGTTTCAGATTCTGGTATCTGTCTATTGAATACGGCCCATAACATCGAGTTCTCTTGTGGCACATGTGCCTTTTGCCTCCTTTTATTTACCTCATTCGGTGGTTCCTTATGGTTGAAGTATGTGCAGGTTGAAAATTCTTCAGTTTTATAAGATGTTAACAGTGAGGAGACTCTAACAGTATGGTGGTTATGGGTTGGGGTGGTCCATTTGATTCTTATTGACATCTCTGCTCCTTTTCTCAACAGCAGTCGTGGTATGTGGGCAATCCAGTGATTGTAGTTCTGCCACCCTATTACGCTACCGGTTCCATTTCCTTGGTTTCGGTCTCTTCTTGTTCTCTATTGACCATGCTGTTACAGTTGTAGGAGGCAGATGTGCTTATTCTTGATAGTGGCTATTATGGAGTATTACAGCTGAATTGAATATGATGCTTGTTGTGGTGCCTTTTTTGGATGATTTCTGTTTGTTTCCATTGCGAAGTGTGGTGGCATTCCATCATATGTTATCACCTTAGTTCTTAGACAATACATGGGCAGGAGTGGTTTTGAAAGCAAGAGTTGGAACAAGGGCCGCATGAGGGTCAGAACCAAACTGGATGGGGTTACATCTGCATGCTGTGATTGCATCTACATGATGCCCTGAATGTTTGCTCTGTATTACTTTGCCCTTCTATAGTCTCTGGAATTGCTGTTACTTGAGAATCAAAGCATGATTGCCATAGTTTCTGCAAATCTCAGTCATTCTATGTGAACTTCTGTAGCTCTTTGTTAACTGCAACTAGAGTCGATGGTTATCGAGCTTCACTCCCGCGTGTCCTAAGGATAGCTTCTTGCAGGTTGAAACGATGTGTTGTGGCCGAAAGAGCTTGCGGAGAGCGCCAGTATATTACGCCATGTCTATTGTTTTCAACTGGTCCGGATTCAAGTGAGTGGGTTTCCGTCTTGGGTGTATGTCGTCAAGCGTACTGGTTTTAATTTAGATGATCTGGACTCAGTTACTGATTTTAGGACTGCAATGATCTTTCATGGGAAGGTAAAAGACCCTCAGGTCAGTTCAAGCAGGAATTATTTTCTTGCTGCTTCTAGGTTGCTGATTCTGCTTCCGTTCTTAGGTTGCCAGATCCATAAACTACTTGTAGTAAGCTCAAGCCCTACATTCTGTGAGTCCTTGTATTCGTGTGAGCTCAGTTTGGTTGCCTGCTTCCTTCTGAAGGAGCTAGGCCTGGTGGTTTGTTTTGCGGCATATAGATTTAGTGCTCATCTTCTGTGATGGTTTCTTCAAGATAAATGACCGATGTGAAGGAATCGGTGTGGTCTATCACCCTTGACTCGGGAGGGTGCTAGAATAGTGTTGAACGCAGGAGCCTTGTTTGCATTTGGATTCAATGGCTAGTTTTACTCGTAAACAGACCTCTCTCATATAGTCAAATTTTGGATGCCTGTAACTTGCCACCCTAAGCTTTAGTATGATAATGTGGAAGGCCTTGACGATTGTACTGAACATTGAAATCCTTGTCCTAGACACTACTACGGTGCTTGCTTCTGGTTTTTGCATCCTTTCAAGGAATTTCCTACCGACAGTTCAACGGAGTGTTCCTAGGAAGTTTGCTAGGTTGTGGTTGCCCTAAATTCATCCGTCATTTGCTTTGTAAGGTGAAAATGGGAGGCTATGTATGTCCTGGAGCTCTCTTTTCAAATACCAATTACCCTTGTCAACTGCTTTCAAAGTGTTCACACTATTTGAGAAATCAGTGGTATCATTCTTTCTAAATTTGATAATGAAGTTCAGCCACTTTGCACAAGTGTAGTCTATGAAGACCGTGTGTGATCACATTCTTCTTGATATTGAGTAGTAATCTGTTAAAACACTGCTTCAGAAGGGAAATCTGGAATGTGGAGTAGAACTTGGTCTACAGTTCATACAATATAGCGAGTACAACTACAGCTTTAGACATTATACAAGAAACAGCTGAACTTGTTTGGATCCTGCTATATATATTCTACTACCATAAAATGCGCTTGTGACAAAACACTGAAACACATCTGCAAGACGTTCCTCTCAAAGGCTTCAAGAATCATCAAATCGAAGTTAAGAAACCAGACGTTCAAAGGAGTCTGGGGACCGACTGAAGAAGCACGATAGAAGTCCCATTATTCCTGTTCCTGTGGGGTGAGCAATGTCCCTCTCACGTCTGTGTAGGACTCTCACAAATTCCTTTGAGCATAGATGTCCGTCACGGTTAATGTCAAACACATGGAATATGATATCGACCACATTATCAGACAGTGGAATGTTGCAAACCTGGCCGATCGCAGGTCGAGGTTAGCATATGATGGAAAGCTCAAACAGATGAAGCAAAATTCTCTATGTTAATGGAGTTAAGTTTCAAATACCTGAGATGCAGCTCGTTGGAAATCCTCCTTTGTTAACAGGCCATTTACTTTCCCGAAACTGAAAAGAGCCAAAGAGAATGGCCTTAGCTGCTTACGTAACTCCGCGAAGTTGTTGAATTCCTCAAACGTTATTTGCATGTCCCGAAGGTGCATGTCCTTGTCTAATTCCTCCACCCGACCAAGTAACTTATCTAAATGGCCGAAGTCAGCAGAAGCCACCATGGACAATGCAAAATCCTTGGCCAATAAGGTCCCTCGTGATTTGTAGTCATAGTGAGCAAACTCCAGTCTCAATATCTGACGAAGTAAGCAACATACAGTCTATGATCACTTTGAATAGCCGTATGAATAACCGAGAAAATATGTTTGAAAGTAAAGAGATTGAATAGCGACATTATTCAATCTCTTTGTTGTTTAAATGAGGACAGTACATAAAACCAATGCACAGACCAAATTACTAAGTATTGCTAGATTACTAGGATCACGCGAAGAAAGCATAACGCAGATTGCTCACTTCATTTCATTATCACTTTGGCACTAGATTTCAATCCTAACACTTGTGAGCTCACAAATAATGCAGAAGTACAGAGAAAAATGATTCATCCTGGCAGCAGAAAGATATCCTCGAAGCAACCAAAGTTATAAACCATAAACCGGAACTAACTTCTGACAGTCTCAGTTCTAAGGAGCAGGGAATGAAGGGCTGAAGTTTACCTCATCCTGTAAATTCGTCATGAATTGCATAAAGCTATCATATTGGAGCCGCTTAGTTCCATCACTGCCAAAGAAGTAGTCCACCAAGCCTCCATTTTCCACACAACCACTATCCTTAAACCCTGTTCTTAGTCCATCCTTATGTACAGCTCCTTGCCTGTTATGAGCTCGCATCAGTGCCATCACTTTCTTAAACTCTTCCTCATCAATCTCCCTACATCAGGCAACTCTCAGAGTTTCAGGACACTAGTCTAACACGATTCTCGAAATCCCATCTATACAACATAGAGAATGGAAACATGTACCTACCCGCTGTTGTCAATGTCGAACATCTTGAACGCCACAGAGAAACTTGATTCTGGAATACTGAGCAGCGTCACGAAGAAAATATACCTGTTGCAAGGAACAATTATAGCAAACACCATTTTCAAAGCAGCGTGAGAAGGTTACGAAGCAACTCTCATTTCAATATAGAGCAATGCAATGTGAAATTGGAGGAAACGCACTCTTTGAAAGAGATAAGGCCATCATTGTTCACATCAAAAAGCATGAAGAACTCAGAAGGAGCACAGCGCAATTCCCCGGGACTCCTTTCCCCTGTCAAATACCCCTCTCTGATTAGGTTCGATTCAGACGGTGGGAAAACGGGGACAACAGCTCGCATCAAATCCGCCGCCGTCATGAACAATTCTCCATTCGGAGCTTTGTGTGACGCAAAGTACTCGAATACCTTCACCGGAAATGAATGCTTCTATCAATTCCAATCTATAGATATAATAGGCAGTAGTTCATCAATTGCAAAACTAGAAATCGAACCTTCTCCGGCGGACTCCGCAGCCTTATTCGTTTCTCGTACTTGAAGAAAACCTTTCGCCTGTACGAATCTGAACCGAATCGATCATTACTTTTTCTTTTACTTCACAACAGCACTTGTTAATCAGCTAATGACAAATAAAAAACGCACCTCCAAAGAGGAACTTCGATCTGTACTCCGGCAAAGAAAGTTTGTGAAACAAGGACGATTCTCGCCGACAATCGCCGACGGAAGTAGCTTCGCCGCCCGCGACAGTCGCTGACCGGTCAAAGAAGGACGAGAGCTGCTTCTTGAAGAGATGAAAATCGGTGTGATCGGTATCAAGCGGCGGTGACCAGTAGTACAATCCGCCGAAACTTGCGCCGGCAGCGGCGGCGGAGATCCACTTAACCAGAGATCTGCTCCCTGGATTCGAGTTGCGCGGAGAGTTAGAGGAAGCGCCGGAACCAGCGGCGTCGATCGAAATCAGCGTAGATACGGTAGAGGACGATGCCTGACAGCTGGAGAGTTGGCGAGAATGAAGGCTGGAGAGCAAGAGTGAGTGCGACGATCTTCGGAGAGAAGGTAAAGTGGCAGGCATGGCGAGGATGAAAGGCGGCAGTTGAGGAACCGGGTGAGAGAAAGGAAGAACAGACTTGGCGGTTAGCGAGCGTAAATGTAAAGCTTAGACGATAGTTCGTTAGTTGAACCCACGAGTTCGGCTAGCCATTTCGACCGTGGCGTGGGGAAACCAGAAGTCGCCAGGCAGGCAGCAGCATGGTGGCATTGCATAATGGCTTATCCAAGAATCATTACGATACTTCGAAGTTAAATCGCGACACCAATCGGGTATATTGTTAGGGTGCCGATGGTCCGATTTGGTTAAGATTTAAGAACAAGCAAATATTTGAGAACGAAACGGACAAAAATTGAAGGAAAAGTGAGCATAAAAGCTCATCAAATTTTGAATAGATTTCAACAAGTCTTGTTGATGACGAATAGGGGTGACAAATGGTAAGTCGGTAAACGGTTTATCGTTTTACCGAACCGGTAACTGGCGGTAAACGGTAAACCGTTTATCGGCGGTATCGGCAGCCGAGGGTCAAATGTGGAAGTTCGGTTTACCGGCCCCAGTATCGTTAAATACCGACGATAATTCGGTAATACCGATACCGGACCAGTTAAGGCATTAACTAATAATATATACTTCATTATTCACAAATATTACATACATGAATGAAAGTAAGTAAGTATAGGCCTCAGAAAAATAATAAATAAGAGTTAATAATAATTTATTAATTACAAAAATGAAGAAAAAACTTATAAAAATCAAAATATTACAACATCACTCCATTGCCCAGAAATTCGGTTCGGTAATTTTCCGGTAAACCGAACCGAAAAACCGTCAGCAACTACTCTTTATGGTAAGTCGGTAAAACCGGTTTGTAACCGTTTATCGGTAATTCGGTAACCGGTACCGGTTACAAACCGATAAACCGGTTACAAATCGATATCGGTAATCGATTCCCACCTACCCACACTCGGTATACTGAAAACCGGTAAAGTCGGTAACCGATTTACCGGTTACCGACCGAATACCACCCCTAATGACGAATGTTCAAACCAAGAAAATAACATCCCATAGTGCAACAAGTAAATTCACTTGCTTCTGTAACAACTGCATAACATATATGAACGAAAAATAGAGCCGACTCTATCATCGTACATATACTCCTAGAGGTTACAGTCTTACAGATCAAATTACCACTTCGAAAGTGATCGAGATGACCACACATCGTAGAGAATTTCTTTCTCAAAATGTCCTAGGTGTTGGACTAGCTTTTTGTGCATTGAACTTTTCAAAATAAGTAAATGAGTGTTTCTATTAAAAAATAAAAGAGTATAGAAAATGTTGAAACTATGAAATTTTAGAAAGATCCGCACTGGAAATGAAATTTAAATTTCCCACTGCAAGTAAGATTATGAAAAAAAAAATTAAAAAAATATTGCAGGTACCAAATTAAAATCAAGAAAAGTACGAGAGAGCATTTTTGGCAGTGATGATGATGGCGCCAATACAATGATATTAGTACAGAGAGAGCGTTGATGATGATAAATGATGGATCCGATCCGCAGCATCACTTTCCAGAATAATAAATTATCATCTCCTCCAGCTGTCCCTCTGTTGTCTGTACTGTCTCCCCCACCGCCTTCTTCTGCTCTCTCTGCCCCTCATCTTCGACTCCAGCTCCATCGACGACAACAGCAGTTACCAATTTCACTGGCGTTATCGCTACTGATTTGACAAATTAGGTTCAAAATCGATTCAGTTTGCAAAGTTTGAAGCCACATGCGTTGCTTGTTTGGTTGGTTGCATACAGCTAATCCAAAGTGCTTCAGCTTTCGCCATGCTTGGCTCGTGCACATGTCTCGACTCTTTGTTTGAGAGATTGGTGGCTACAAATGGGTTATATGGTGCTGGAAAAGCAAAATCCCTTAGTCCCACCATTATTATTCCAACCTTCCTCTCTTTCTCCCAACTGGAATAATCGACCTCCCAGCCGATCTCTAACCCCACTACTACAACGACCACCCCCGGTTTTCCTCCTTTTGTGCTGGCCCTTGTTTATTTATGCCTACTAATTAATTGGCGCTTTCAATCAATTACCATGATTCATTATCAAGCTAGCTCAACCTTTTAATGACACGGGGAAAATAAAGGTTGGAGAGCTTGTGAAATGGAGAGAAGGATGTTAGGTTCGGTGGAAGAGGAATCGCCTTTGAGTTAAGTTTAAGCGTTCATTGAGTGACATTATAATTCTAGTTGTTAACTCATCTGAACATTATGCTCGAGTTAAACTACTAGTAATAATTTTGCATGATTTCTCTTTCAAAGAAGGTTGTTTTACACAGTTACTCCTCGTTTACGACCCGTACTTGATTTCTACAAGTCACATATCTCATTGTCACTCACACAGTCACACATATAGGTGTACTCTCATCTATCCACATGTTTTCTCTTCGTTAAACAGGTTCTCAACACTTAGTTAGAAGTTCATCTCATAGATGATCGTTACGTAATCATCTTCAAATCGATTTCATTGTTCAATCAGATCACTTCTCACCGTGTAAGGAGTACACATCATTAATAGTTTTGACACAACTCTTGTTCTCTACAATAGAATCACATCTTTTACTCTTTTATGGTTTGGTTTTGTTAGAAGGCCTTCGGTGTTAATCAGGGTTTAGATTGAAGGTAAAGTCTAAAAGTCCCATACGTCTGTGGGCATAGGTCATTTCAGAAGCACTACCGTTCCGTGCTTCTTTTTTATAAGTAAATTCAACATCACGTTTGTTTTTCTTGCCTTGATGGAAATATTTTTTTTTTCTTTTTCCGGCGGATGTAAAAAGTAGGTGTTAGACCGGTCGTAATAAGTTTTGTAAGAGAGTTCATACGTTTCATGGCAGTTCACCTAGCTTAGCTAGCGGTTACTCTACTTAATTAGTCCAAGGTGGTGGTTGCCTGGTTGGTTTCTCCGTTTCCTTAGCCTTGAATTTGCCGCTTTAATTTCCCACCAAGCTTCTTGTGTTCGCTGTTGGTCGCACTTTAATCAGCCCATCTGTCTGTCGAGTGTCGACACTTTCTTTTCTTTTCCATTTATTTATTTTAATCCCCCTATCTTTCATCATCAAATTCCCATTTCTTTAATTAGTGTCACTAATCACGTTACTTTCGTTTTTCCTTCAAATCGTTCTCTAATGAAGGTCCTTCACACGACGATATAGAGAGCCCCCGCAGAAGTTTCCAGCTTTTCCAACTTGTTAAGCAATGGGAAAAGTATAATTATCATTATATTAATTAATCAAAGTCTCCTAAGCTGGCCTTCCCTGGATTCCAAACCTAACCTTCAACCAACAGAGAAATGAAGAAAAGTAAACGGAGCCAAAGGAATAATAATAATCGTTATAAATATAAAATCGGAAAGAAATTAACGGAAAATATATAATAAATACCTGGAAATGATGACGACGGAAACGACGACGGCTGACGGGAATCACGACGGCACACACGGGACGGACGACGACGAATAACACGGACGACGGTAGACGGGGAACGGACGCACGCCGACGCTTACGGCAAACGTCAGAGGACGGATCCGGCTGGAATGGAAGCCGGTTAACTTTGCTTAATATTCCGTTTGGCTAAATTGAGTCCCGTTTAATGTCCTTTTAATTCCGATTTCCTTAACCATCTGTCAATTTTTCTGGAAATGAAAAATATCCTATTTGGTCCGAAAATCTCCTTCCATAGCAATTTGTAGACATGTACAAAATTTCTTTTTTTCGTCTACCGAGGTTCCCAGGTCTACAAAGCTTCGTCCGGCCGTCGACCGACCGAACTTTCCTTCCGCTTCTCGGCCCGTCCCGTCCCCGCGCCGTGGCCGCGCCTCCACCGGATTCAGGCAAGAATCGCCGGAATCGGAGATCAGAAGAAGAGGAAGAAAAAAGTAATTTTACCAAACCTTTTTCTGATTCATAAATACCATTCAAGAATCACCAGCCTCGGCTCTAGACATGACTGAGAGCCGGCTCTTCCGGTGCTGGAAATCCGCTCTCCTCCTCTGCTGGTGCGACGACGGTCGAATCAAAGCCGACAGCGCTCTCTTCACCCAGTCACCTTCCACGCCGCCGATTCTCACCAGCGAATTCGTCATCGCGGATCTCCTCATGTTCAGCCTGTTCGGCGTGAACGAGCTCCCTCCGGCGTGGCCGTTCTGGTGGCTGTTCTTGTGGAGGCTGCAACGGAACGATCCGGGATGCGAGGTCGGAGAGCACATACACGTCTTCCTCGCGGGGAGGCTGGAGATGTGATTGGTGTGCTTCGTCGCGACAGATATGTTCCGATTGGGAGATGTGGATCTGTCGATGGAGAATCGGAACGTCGGCGACGGAGGACTCTGGGAGTACAGATTGACGCGCGTCGGAGAGGCGGATCTGTGTGGCGGAGCGGTGGTGCGGAAGAAGGCCGACGGCGGAGAGTAGAAGCTCGAACTCGTGGAAGAGGCGAACGCCGACGAGGACGAGGAAGATGAGAGATGACCGGCGGAGTTGTACGACGGGAATCGGCCGCGCGGAGACAGCGACCGGAGCACCGGCCCGCTGGATCTTTTGGAATTCGAGCCCATGCCTGTTTTTTTCAAAGCCAAGGAAGGGGAGGAGGAGAGAGAGGAGGAGGAAGGAGAAGGCTGGGGAGGAAATGGGAGAGGGGCTTTTTGGGTATTTTCTTTAGAGCCCCCTTCGGCTATTTGGTTCGGCAAACCTAGCGAGTCTCCAGGGCAGGATTTATAGATTGGAGAGATGATGGCAGGAGTGTAGTAAAACGGGAGTGACAAGGGTATTATTGTCTTTATGGACTATGTGTGTGGGTTAGTTTAACTGTAGTTAGTGGGGAGAGCGGGTTTTGGCCGTTTGACTAGAGGCCAGATGGGGCGTTGCGATTCTGATCCAACGGCTGGAAGGGCAGCGATGGGCACAAAGGGGACGGGATAAAAGGGCCGTTTGTTTGACAGCTTTTGGGGTCACCTCTTCGGAGGTGCCGCGTGTATTGCCTTTCTCGGGAAACGGTCACATCTGACATTCTGCCAAACAAGGCGGTTGCGTGCAGATTATTACGACAAATTGCCACACTCTGTTCCCTTCGGTCTTCTCTCTTCTCTACTCATCTCCTCGCAACTATAGTTTGGATTTTTCTTCTCGTAGGATTTTCACTTTTCACCGGCGAGAAGCTATTGTTTGGATAAGGCAATTTCGGTTAAATAGTTTCATTTGGCAAAGAATCCAATTGTTGGGATGGGAGAATTTGAATTGATTTGTTTTGCATTTATTTTGAATTGACATGAAAGAGGTAAATATTGTGAAATGATATGATGTGTGTTTTTGTGAGGCAATTGTAAGAGATAAGTATGTCAAATTGCATCATTTTATAAATTTATCATCAAAACTTTTGATCAAGTTTAGGTTATTAAAAATAAGTTGATTTCGAACTCGCTTTGCTTATTAAATATTGGTTCAATTTCGAGTTTAGTTCCACTTGAGTTATGTTCATTAATTATCTCACAAGTTCGATCTATTTGAGTTTAACTTCAAATGAAAGTTTTCATCATATTATATAATATTGATTAAAACATTATATTACGTGTACAATCTTTTTGTAAATAATTAGTGAGAATATACCCATCACATATTCATAGTCTTAAATCAAGTTATGTTGTGAGTTCTAATCTAATCAACTTACGAGTCAATGCAAGCAATTTGGAAGCTATATTGAGATGAGCTCCATAAACTACACTGTGAAGCCAAGTATTGACCTCGAAAGGATCCAACTCGCAAAGCACAAAGTCAAGCTAGCTCGAGCCCTAACCAAGTTAGATCACAAGCTAAGCTCCGCGTGTCAAATATAGAGTTACCTTGCGAGCCTGGCAAGTTGTCGTGTCTAGCTCAAACTTGGCTCACTTACTATTGAGTTGACTTGCAAGCAAAGTTGTTAGTTAACGAGTTGGGTGTCAAACAAGTTTTCCCAATTTTGAATAACAATATTCTTTTTGAGCGATCATGTTTATTTGCATCCCTACTACTATTGTACACATATGGGTTACCACTCCCATAATAACTACACATGCCTTGTTCCTGCTAATCCTGTCAATATGGAGAATAACTAGTGTTGTCTCGTCACAGTTCGATGTTGATGAGACTATGGTCCGAGTATTCATTAGGGTTAAAATGTCATAATACGTTGTCCTTGTTAGAATACTTATTGTATGATTCATGATCATTGACTGCATGTAAAAAGCAAATGCACAATTCATTTATTGTGAATCGAATCCTATTAGGACATCCCAGTCTCAATGATTGTTAGGATCATAGTCGTATTGGTTATGTTCAAGGGTCACATTTTATTTGAATGGTTATACCACCTAAGGCGCGACTACGGGTTTGGTAAACTAAACATACCATCACATACCCACTATTGAAACAATGTGGTTTTACTTTGTTTTTCCCTTTCTATACATACTCAACTTATCCAAGTCTGCTGTTAATGTGAGTAATACCCTAAGCAGGTTATAAGAAAAATCATACCTTCGAGCTCGAGGGCATTTTGTACTCTGAGTTGCATCCGTCAAAAAACCCCGAGGACAAGGAGCTTGCTCGAGAGAGAGATCGACTTTATATACGTAGGTCAGCGGAAGAAGAGAGTGTGAGAGAAAGGGCGGGAGACCATTCCCATTTCGCACTAGCACGAATGACAGACCACGTAATGATACTTAACCTGTTGCAAACCATACAGACTAGTCATTTAACATATGCAATCTACTCCTAGTAACTTTTACAATCCCACAAAGCGATCCTACGCATGTGTATCCCTATTCTACATGGTTACTTCCAATGTAAAATCCCCAATATTATAAGTAGTAATTCTTGTGAATTTAGGATATGCCATGCACAACCCAGAATGTATTAAAATTTACAGCTCAGGTGGACAGATAATTAACCAAATTGAAGCTTAGATTAATCCAAGGTTTAAAATCTCAATGTCGTAGAGATACAATGCGTTTTTTTTATAATGTAAACATGACAGCTGTGACAAATGGAAACGGACGCAGGCCCCAATTCTTTAATGCCACTAATTCGATATTTCGGTATAATATATAAGATTTTCTCTGGAGGTTGTGATTTTAATGGCTTTTATTTTGGTGTACAAGCAAAGTCATGATAAATTGGAGAATCAGCTGATTCCCACTCCATTCGAAATTTCTAGCATTATTGCAAGTTGTTGGGAACCGATATTATTTAAGCTCATACGTGCAAAAATATCCGAGCTAATTTTATTTGGAAATAATTTTGCAAACCTAATTTTATGATTATGGCCAAAGCAAGAGATTAATCCTGGTACAGCACTAACCCTTCACCATAGATAAATGGGCGTAGCCTATATATATTGGGTCACGATCGCCGACCCAATGGGCCCTCTCTTGGGCCGCCTTCTCAAGGCAGCTAAGCTGACATGACAATTCTTCCGCCGAATTCAAAGACCTAACTCGCCACCGGCCCATTGCAGTTAGGAAGTTCATTTCTCCTTTCCTTGTCCTAGCAAAGGCTAAAGTTGGTTATAGCTAATTCCAAGCAAAATAAAATCCAAAGGACCTAATCCCAATTTGATTACAGGGGCAGCACAAGTCCACAACCAACAAATCCGTGGAAAGAGTATCAAAATCATTTCCCCCAATTCTAATCGTTCAAACCCAAATCTGCCCCTACTACTGAAATATACATCACCACATTAAGCTCCCAAAAGGAAAGAAACCTTCAGTGCTCCTTGATCTCTCCACCTTCTTCCACCACCTCCTGATGAGCTGCCCTGTCTTCAGCTTGATGCTCATGCTCCTGCTTTCCACCCGTCCGGTGCCGCCTTTCTCGGCCGTAGATAACCCAGAAGATCAAAGACAACATAACTGCAGTGGAGACTATCACCAGCCCTACATATATCTCCCTGCTGTACTTCCTCAGTCCAGGACAATGCTCCCTGTGTATCTCACTGAATGTCTGCCTAGCAAATGAGCAGTCTTCCAACTGCACCAAGAATGGTGCATAGTTGATCAATCCATAGCTCACGTTGACTGCAGCCTCCATCTGGCTGTATATAGTCGGTGTCAATCGACCCGTGGTTTCACATATTCCTGCTGCGGAGACCTGGCACACATAGCCACTCCAAACCTGGGGAACACAACGATAGAGACATACGTTGTCAGGATCGAGGTTTTGCTTAAATTCGAGACTATACAGGCCACACTGTACTGTAAAGCAATGTAATGTAATGGTACATAGCATTGGGGTGGTTTGAGGTTTTAATTACTTACCTGTGTGGCATTGTTGAGGTCGACTTCGCCAGGGCTGCAGGCGCGATCAGTCAAGTCCGCGTGAAATGGGTTGCAGAGGATTGGGACCAAGGGTCCGGATTGGTTGATGTAGAGAGGCTTGAAGTTTGGGGAGAAGTTGATGTTGGACATGTTGGTGATCACCTGGTTCACTACCTCAGCTAGTTGGGAGGTCACTTCCTTGCTCTTTGCCAAGGTTTCAAGTGCAGTTGTGGTGTCTACACAGGGCAAGATCTCGTCTAGTGCTGTGTGAGCAGCCGGATTTTGCACCCATTGATCCATTGCAACGCAAGCATCGCCCGCCACACTAGGTTGCAGATTGACAAAACAAAGATCAAAAGAAGAGTATTAGGATGCTTGGCAACTGGCATGGTAAAGTGGATTTGGGGATTGGAATGGGACTTACTTGTGAAGAAGAAGGAATATGCCACACAAGATGAATGTGCCTGCAACTAGTATCCATCCAAGCACAACTAGGCTGCAAAATGACATTTTAATGCGAAAGATTGAAACTTTAGTGTCCAAAGACAGAAAAAAAAAAAAGGGTTTACACCATGAGCATCACTTACATGTGTACCAGCAATTGCATGCCAAAGATCGAAAACACTGGATACATCGGAAATAAAGAAGGCGTTAGTAAATTTGTGCTATGATCCGACATTATAATTCAACTGGAAAGCAGGATCAACTTCAGGAGCTTACACAATCCGAGGAATGTCAAGACAAGCATAATTGCAGCTACAACAATGAGAGCCAGCCTCCTAAATATTGACCAGTCACTATTAGTATACACAAACTAAGCATGAACATAGAGAGCAAAATAATGAACTGGCCATAGGATTAGAAAGGAGGACAATTCCAACTTACACAGAATCAAGAAGGTCTTGTATATCACTGGAATTTTCGGACGATTTCTCATCGAGAAGACTAGCAGAAGAGTTGATTCTACCTCCAATCTGGTCAATGTCAGTTTGTACATCCGAAGGCAGGAAAACTTGATCAACTCCAAGTAGCTTAGCTGAAGCCAGATAGTCCGACACATTCCTTAAATTCTCGATCGTGGAATCCGCCTGGCTTACAACATAGTCCAATGTCTTAGTGGTGCTCTTGTGGAACTTCCCCTGAGCATTGTATAACACAACACACCCAATTCTGACAAGACAACCAAATTTTATCAGGGAAAGAAAGAGTTTCTGTGGAACAAGTAGCGTGACAAATCGATTTGCACTAGAGATATAGAGCATGAATGTTAGTTGCTTGACATGGCCAAGTAATTGGAACATGATGTTCTATTAAACCCTACTCCTCATTAGGGTTTTCATGCCAAAAGAAATTGAATTGAGAATTCCAGTTTTGAAATGTAGTGAGTATACTTACACAGCAGCAATGCTGAAGAGGACGAGGGAAATGAGAGAAAGGGCATAAGCGATCCGAGAGTAGCCATGGAGCTGCCTTTTGCAGCAGTAATGGAAGAGGCATCCAAGTAGTAAACAGAGTCCAAAACCCAGAAACCAGATTAAAGCTACCACGAACAGTGGCGCTCCCGTGAATCCTACAGACTGTGCGATGGAGGAAGATCACCATAACCAATCAGCAAAATCTGAGGAAAATGCGGAGTACAGAGAACGGAGGAATTTTGAAAAGCACTTACAGCCCAATAATGGCGGTCGCTGATATTCCAGCCACGGTCGTAACGCTTGAAGCCGTCAAGAGGGTCTTTTCTGTAAGTCCGTTCAGCTGCTAACGCAAGTGTTGAGGTTTCAACTGGGTCATTGCTACTCGGTATCTCCAGTGCCGACCTCACCGTCCGCCATGGAAACTCCACAGACGGCGCCCCTGAAAGTAAAACCGAGATAATGAAAACATGTTTAAAAGGTTTAACAAAAGGGGAAAAGGTAAAATCCTTTATTTCCCACTGCATGCCCTGACAGACATCTTCATTCTCCGCCCTCCCTCTAATTTGCCATTTCTGTTTCTTTTTCTTAAATAATCTGAGATTCCATTCCAAGGGAAGCCAGAAAGGACAAAGAAAGTGGAATTTCACAAGTCCCTCCCCCACATTTTCTTGGATGCCAAACAGATGAAACTTAACAGAAGAAGAGAGAAAACTTACCAGCTGGGGGCAAAGAGGCATGGGAGAAGGTAGCCGGAAATGCTGAAGAAAGGAACAAGGTGGTGAAGAAGGTGATGAACAGAGCAAATGGCTTTCCATTGCAGACCATGATTTCCGCTGAGTGGGGTTCTTTTCCTTCGCAGAAGGCTTTTTCTGGGAGTGGGAAAGTGGAAAGAAGAGGACTTTCAGGGGAAGGGTGGAGACTGAGAGGGCCAACAGAAAGAAAGAAAGAAGAGAATACAAAAGCTTGTAGTGAAGTAAGTGAGCAGAGGCCAGAGAGTGTAGTATTGAGTGAGTGTGAACACTGAACTGTGAAGAGTGGGTAACTGAACCGTTGGTCTTTCTTTCTAGCAATCTAATATCTCCTCCTTTTCTTCTCCCTCTGGCATTTTGCACTGTCTTCCATATGGACTTTTTGGCTAGCTTTGGGAGGGAATTTCTAACGCTAGTGGTCGGGTCTAACGATGCTTTCATTGCTGGTTTTTATGACTATCCTTCAATGCTGTTTATGCAGTAGTAACCTTCACCTCCCCAAGTTCTTTATAGTTTATAGTAAGAAACTTACAGTATTTAACTTTGAGAATGTTAAATGGCATCCAAAGAAAGAGGGAGGGTAGAATACCATGTCCTACAAGCACAAAAACATGCCAAGTAGTAGTCTCTAAGAATATTGAACTTAACTTCTGTGAGTAATTTTACTGGTGAGTTAGATCCCATTAAATCTTAGTGTGAAGAAAGGGAAAATTAGATGCTCACAATAATACTAGTTTTGCAAACGGCACAAATTCTACAAATTTTGTTTAGTGCATTATCGAGACAACTATTATGAACCAATAACTAATCATTCATTACCAAAAATACTATACTCAATAGGTCAAAGCGAATATAAAATAAGCAACCGACTACATAGTTTCATCCTCCGATCTTTAGCTAAATGACTGATTGAAGTGCAACCTATTTTTATAGGTTTGACGTAAAGCTTCTCATTCGCTAGCGGGGCTATCTTTAGATGAGAATTATTTATTTTTATGACATTTGCATATGTATCACGTCTTTTGTTCCTCCGAGCTTTTATATAATTGTCAGCTTATCGACAAAAAATAAAAACATTTTCATCTATGGTTGATTGTATACGAACTAACATGAGAGTTGTTATCTACTTTGTAATTTATATCTCGTTATTTGTACCTTGTTGACATATCTTGCAAAAAACAAAAACACACTAAAAATTGTCATGTAATACTTAAATAAATGGGTAAATGTCACATTTGGTCACAGAGATTACTAAATCATGTCATGTTTAGTCACTAGAAATATTTAATATCAAGTTTGGTCACTCGAATTACTGAAACATGTCACATTTAGTCACTCTGCCGTTAGTTCCCGTCCAACTCCATTAATTCGAGTGACTAAATGGAGTTGGACGGAAACTAACGGTAGAGTGACTAAATAAGACATGTTTCAGCAATTCGAGTGACTAGAGTTGGACGGAGGCTAACGAGAGAGTGATTAAATGTAACATGTTTTAGTAATTCGACTAACCCAAATTGATATTAAATTTTTCTAGTGACTAAACATGATAGGATTTAGTAATTTCAGTGAACAAATGCGAACGCTTAAATAAATAGATGATTACTGGAGGCTGGAGACCAATACTATAATCATCGAAGAGAGGAAATAGGACTGGAATGGACATATACATGGGCCGATTGGGGCGCAATGGCCAAGAAAGAAGTAGCCACTTTTTGGTCCGCCTCATAGTCATAGTAGTGATGACAATGGTCTGGTAATAATCAGGGTCCATCTGGACAGGTTATAATTATTATATATTATTTGATGAAAACATTTATTTTAAATGATAAAACAAAGAGAAAATAGTTCTTAAATGAAAATAAAAATAATAAGTAGATTAATTAAGTTTAATTAGTTGAAAGACGAAATCTTGCACTTATTAAAGTATCATTAGGTGAAATTATGAGTTAAAATAAGTCAAAATAGAAGAAATAAAAATAAACATTGAGACAAATTGAGATAAAACATATCGAAAACATAACAAAGCGATAGAACAAAAATAGTACCCATATTCCATCCCACATTTGACATTACTGCAGATTGAATATTATCATCCCAATACGGATAAATCGGTAATATCAACGAATCCAAATTGCCATCACTAAGGCGTAGTATTAGGGGTGGCTATACGGTCCGGTCCGGTTAAATTGGACCAAATTGATCCGGTCCTAGTCCGGTCGTTTCGGGAATATAAGGACCAAATATTGGATTGGATATAGTCTGGTCTTGATCCGGTCCGGTCTTGACCTGGTCCGGTCCCAATTTGATCTTGATTTTAGATTGAACTTGTGGGGATTTCAATGTTGGGTTCTCTTATCCGGTCTTTATCCGGGTTTTTTTTACCTCAAATCTAAGCCCAAATATGAGATTGGATTGTTTGCTATCTGATCCCAGTCCGGTCCCGATCCAAGTTATACTGTCCGGTTTTGGGTAAAACCAAACAGTCCGGACCAAATAGCCATTCCTACATAGTATACAGTAGAATTGTATTAGGCATTTAAAACCAAATTACCAACATGCTCCAATGAGCAAAGACGATCCACTAATGGGGGAGAAAATAATTGAAAATGGTGCGAAAAATCCAACAGCTAATTGCCTAATGGGCCACTACTCATCAACAGCAGCTCCATCATTCAACGACTTTCTCACGCCACCCAGCCCAAGCCCCACCACCCTCCGCCCGTCGACTCCATTTGCCGATCTCTGCAACTCGCAGAAACCCACGAATTTGGCCGGCTTGATTTTCCGACCGAAAAGGGCCGGCAGAAATGGGGTGCGGGAACATGTTCTTCACGGCGCTGATAAGTTTCTCGGTAGCTCTAATCACTTACAACATTCTAATCGCGGCCAATGCCCCTCTCAAGCAGGACCTACCCGGTCCGTCCACGCTTTCCTCCATTGATCCAATCATACGGATGCCAAAGGACAGATCGAGGAAGTTCGGTGCTTCCTCTTCCACCACCCAGAAGCGTCTCTTCCACACCGCCGTGACCGCCTCCGATTCCGTCTACAACACCTGGCAGTGCCGGGTGATGTACTACTGGTTCAAGAAGTTCCGGGATGGACCCAACTCCGATATGGGCGGCTTTACCAGGATTCTTCACTCCGGTAAGCCCGATGACTTCATGGATGAGATCCCCACTTTCGTTGCCCAGCCGCTTCCTTCTGGCATGGATCAGGTACGGTCGTCACTCGCAACTTCCCATTTGCGCTTCTCCTTTTTCCCTACCGTCCACCAACTGTTTGTGCTTTTGCCCCTGAGAATCAATTCAGCCTGGGAAGACTTTGATTTGGTCAATATTCGTTTCTGCATCAAGCAATGTTTGGAATTTGTATTAGTTATGTGCTCGAGGGTAATGGAAAACAGGAGAATGTGAAGATGTGGAGTTGAAATTGCTGTGGTTGAAACTTGGTGTTGGAAGACCAGTATTAGCTCATGTTCGATCTTTGTGCAGGGTTATATAGTACTCAACAGACCATGGGCATTCGTACAATGGCTTGAAAAGGCGGACATCAAAGAAGAGTAGGAAACACTTAACTTTGGAGTTTCAGTGATGGAGTTGTATATGGGTTTCACTGGGTTTGACCTCCATTTTTTTTTCTGCCATTCTTTGCCATGTGCGCCAGCTATATATTGATGGCAGAGCCTGATCACGTTATTGTGAAACCCATACCGAATTTGAGCAGAGATGGGCTTGGAGCTGCATTTCCTTTCTTCTATATCGAGCCTAAGAAGTATGAAACAGTATTGCGGAAGTACTTCCCTGAGGAAAAAGGACCAGTTACTAATATTGATCCTATAGGGAATTCACCTGTCATCATAGGAAAGGTTTGTGTGTGATCTCTTATGTTGCCTCTCCTATCTACTGTTATTTTGCTTTTTTTTTTTTTTAATTCTTGAAATTGTTTTTCTTGATTATGCTTTATATGTTTTTCCCAGGAATCTCTCAAGAAGATAGCTCCCACTTGGATGAATGTATCTTTGTCAATGAAAAAGGATCCTGAAACCGATAAAGCCTTTGGCTGGGTGCTTGAAATGTAAGATATTTGTGTGGTTGATTAGATAATGAATCATTTTACTCTCAGCAACTTACCGTTCTCATCTATAGGTATGCTTATGCTGTTTCATCTGCTTTGCATGGAGTTGGCAATATCTTGTACAAGGACTTCATGCTTCAGGTTAACTATATGCCTATGAACGTGATGCAATTGGAGATTAATATTGTGATTCTTGATGTGCTTCTTATTATCATTGTGCTTCATCATCACAACACAAGGAGGCAGTCTTCTTATTGCTATATTTCTCACGGTTTCTCCTTTTCTGTGATTGCAGCCTCCATGGGATACAGAAATTGGTATGAAGTTCATAATCCATTATACTTATGGATGTGACTATGACATGCAGGTAATCCGATCCATCCATTGGCATGTGAACTGAAATATTCCAAGAGCCCTTTCTCTCTTAACAGTTCATCGATTCAATAATTAACTGCCTTAAGGCTCTCATGTTTCCTACCTTCAGGGCAAGTTAACTTATGGCAAAATTGGTGAATGGAGGTTTGACAAAAGGTCATATACCACTGTTCCTCCTCCAAGAAACCTTCCCATGCCTCCCCCTGGTGTTCCAGAAAGTGTGGTATGTTTATCTTTCTCTTGGTAGTCCTATCACTCTTATGCTCTGAGCTCTGTGTAAGACTATCACATTGGTTTGGAAGTAAAGTAAGGAATGGAAGTGGATTTAGTTTCTTCTATTTTGTAGCGAGTTAAATATATACTCTGAAGAATTCGATTATGATAATGCGGGGCACCCTACTCCCTTCTTTCCTCCACTGGCCTGAAAATGGATCTGTAAAAATGTTGGTGCTGGTGATGGCCTGATTGGAGGTCGTTCATGGTGTATGCATGACTTTTGTTGATAGTGTATGGCAATGTTTGTTTGCATTATTTGTTGATCAACTTTTTGGGGACAGGTGACGCTGGTGAAAATGGTGAATGAAGCTACAGCAAACATTCCAAACTGGGATTCCTAGGTCGGGAGAGGCCATTTTGAAGAAGGTCCATTCGATTCTCTGAAAGTAAAAAGGAGCGCCTTTACCGCTTGCAGATTCACCCGAGGATGGTGGTAATTTCATGTGCGCCTCTGTACATCCTTGTTCTGTCTCGATTTCCATTTCATTCAAGCTCGCAGCCTTTAGACTTAAGGGTAGCTATATGGTTTGATCACTTGAGATCTCTCATTACATTATTTCACCGGCAGAAGCTTTCATCTTGAGTGAAAAACACTAGAGTGATGTATGATCAATAGGGATTCAGAAAACTCTGTTTGCTGATTGATATAGCCATTGTTCTTTCTTCTGCAACTTGATGAACTGTTACTGCCTCATGACCATGTTGTGTGTTTTGATCTTACTGTACTACAAACAAACATTGTTGATATGGATATTACCAATTTTGAAAGTCCAGGTCCCTTTTCTCAATTTTATCATTCAGGCCTATATATTTTGATCAATTCTTATTTGCTGACGTCGTCAAAATCCTCATTTTAACCCTAACATCTTTGACTGTAAATGAGATTCAAATTTAGTTATTGAATTCATTATAACTTCATTAACAAAAAAAACTTTACACTTGTACATGCAACCTCCACACCATATAATTATTAGCTAATTAACCACACTGTACCAGTAATTACCAAAAAGAAATTAAAAATAATCATAAACAAGACCGCCGCTTTAATTTAGACAGATCACGATTATATAGTCCGCAATAACTACTTCCCAGTCGGCAACGTTGCCAGCCACGCCGGCGGCCGCATCCCAGTCTGATCCTCAACGGTCTGAAGCAACGGCGGCAGCATCTTATAAACACCAGCAATCTCCTTCATCCCACCACCACTCCCGCCGCCGCCGCCGCCATTCTCGCTCACGCCATCACCACCGCCGCCGCCGCCTCCCATGCCGTCGTCGGTGGTCCAAATGCTGAGCTTGGGCTGCATCCCGCGAACCGCCTCGGCGTTGATCCTAGCCATCGCCTGAAACATGCCGCCGTCGATCATCAGGTAATCCCTCAGCGCCGCGTAGTTGCCTCCCAGCGCGTCCAGGAGGGTTCTCAGGTACGCGCCCTGTGCTTTGGCCAGGGCCACGAGTCCCTCTGCTTCCTTCAGCTTGGAGTAGAGCTCCGCCTCTGCCGCCTGCTGCCGCGCGAAGAACGCCGCCTTCGACGCCGCCATCTGCGCCTCTGCTTCCTTCTCCTTCTGGTACAGCACTGCCTCCGCGGCTTTTTGCTTTGTGTATAGCTCCCAGTTCGCCTCTTGCACCTTTGATATAACAAACAGAAAGTATGGTGATGTTAATGCTAATATATTTTGACTCCGGAACTTTGAGAATTCGCGAGTCCTTCAACTTAGTTTTTTCTTTGGAAAGAGCCCCTGAAATGAGCAACTTTTCCTACATCTTGTCATAGGGTTGCAAATGAATCAACCTGCTTACGAGCGGCTCGATATTTGATTCAGGAAAAACTCGTTCACACGAACTAGTCGAGTTTGAGCTAAACATAATTTTGTGATGGGCTCGTGTACTAGCTTGACTCGATAATTTGTTGGTTTCAACTTGTGAACTAGCTCGTTTTGAGCTATAATTAAGTTGGCTCAACAATACGAATCCATTGCCTTGTTAGATAATATAATTTATTACATATAATGTTTAAAAATTTGAGCACATAATCAAATATTTACCATCTGTAATTTAAAAGAAAAATTATATATCAAAGATTGCTTATATTCTAATTACTCCTCATTAAGAAGATCTATACGAACAATAAACAAAGTATGAACTAAATGATATGATGGACTATTTCAAGCCGAGGTGAATTAATTGACGAGCTGAGCTCAAATAGATGAACTCGTGATCTCATTAATGACTTGAGGTCGAGTCAAACACAAAATTGAGATTTTAGTAAATCAGTCGAGCTCAACTCATTTATTAATGAGTCCGAACCCATATTAAATTAAAACTCGATTCGACTCATTTGTAGCGAAGTATAGAAGGTACGCTTACCTTGGTTTCATACTCGACGCTGGCCTTGGTGAGGTGCTCGGCCTTGAGCTTCTCGGTTCGGGAAAGTGCGTTCATGACCTCCACTTCCTTCTGCAGCTCCGCGTCCCTGAGCGCCACCGCCTTGTTGGCTTCCACCTCCGCCACCTTGGACTCCCGGCTCCACCCGGCCTTCTTCTTGGCCAGCTCGGCGTCGGCCTCGGCGACCTCGGCCTCCCTCTTGTTCTCGAAGATCTTCACCTTGGTCCTGACGTCGATCTCCTCCTTCTGGCCGTCGCCGGCCCTCTGCGTGGACACGATCTTGGTCTGGGCGTCGATCTTGGCGGCGTTCTGCTTCGTCTGGCCGTCCCTCTCCTTGGCGCCGATCTCGCCCTTCATCCTCGCCTCCGCCACGTCGATCTTCGCCTGGTTCGCCGCCTCCATCTGCGTCTTCTGCCCCAGGTACGAGAAGTACTCGTGACCTGTGCATGTACAGACAAACACATGAGTATACATTTGGTGATATGTAATAATGAGTTTTGTTATAATTAAGAAACGGAATCGGATTGGACGGCTGGACCAGTAGAACCACCAATCAATTGCGGTTTAATTCGGCTCATTTGCTTGGACGTGTAGTGTAGGGATGGAGTGTTGTTAGCAGTTTGATATCAATGTATGTGAATCAATGCAGTACCGGCTGTGCTACCGTAAAATATCATATCACGTAGATGTTTTTTTTTAGCGGTATGAAATGGTTGACCGCAATTGGACCACATGTCCGGAACAAAATATCATGTCGCTAGTTTTCTGATACAACTTCTGGAGTTCTGGTACGGTTTCATGATTCTCGTTTGAAGCACAACCGTACCACGCGAACCACTTCATTTTGACTGGTACACTAATTCATTATTTTAACAATAAAAATTAAGGGAAAAAAAATATTTTAACGTAAACTAAATCCATCAAACATCAATTTCTAATTTCATTTCTGTTTTCTAGTTTCCTTGTCGGCTTTATATGGTCCATTACGACCGAATTGCCATTTTGATTACTAGTTATTACCCTGTAAAATATTCATGATTTCTTTTGGTGATTAATGATATCGATTTGAAGTTATTTATGATTAATGATAAGTTCCGTTCTAATTTAACCGTGGTGCGTGTAAATTGCATGCATGCATGCAGGAATTACGTACCTGGGACGTCGACCAACTGCTTGACGTTGGCGTTGTAGATGATAAGGCCGAACTGGTTGAGCTCGAGCTGGACCTTCTCAAACACCTCCTTCTTGAACTCCTTGGTCCCCCTGAAGATCTCCTCCATGGTCATCGACGCGGCGAGGACACGTGTCTCGCCCTCGATGATCCCCTTCACCAGCTCGTTGACGTGGCTGGAGTACTTGTCGTGCGAGCAGAGGAGCTTCGCGTAGAGCAGGAGGCTCTCGGTGTCGTCGATTCGGGGGCCGATGGTGAAGACGGCCGGGAGGACGAAGGGGAGCTTCTCTGCCGACATGGCCTGCACCTCGAACGTGTAGTTGACCGGCGACATGTCGAACCGGGTGCATGATTGGCCGGGGAGGATCAACGATTTCTTCGCGAGCTTGATGTCGGTGATCCCGATGCCGGTGATGGCCAGGTACTCCGATGCTTTGGCGACTTTGTACATTTTTTGGTTGGTTTGTGACTTTGTTTGTTTGTTGGTTGTTTTTTTGGTTTTTTGGTTTTTGGGGGAAGGGATTGAGAGATGTTAGAAGAAAAAGGGTGAATATGGGGGAACGAACGAGTTGCGGGAGTTGGATGGTAGTGGAGATTTTGGGGGTGAGTGAAGTTCGGATCGTGGGTGAGTAATTTGGGCCTAATTATGTGTAACCGTCAAAACTTTCTGCGGTGTTTAGATAAGAATTAGGTTTGTCTCTTATTTTCTATAAATAGCTTTGTTTTTGTAAGAGTATGAAGGTTAGAACCAATAAAAAAAAGTTGGTGGCTTATCGTAATTCAATGATTGATCGTTGACTAACTGTTTTATAGAATAATCGAACAGTAATTACAAGATTGTTATATCGTGTGAGCACTCGCGTTATACAGATTCCGAAATTCTCGGAAAACAATTGTTAAGATTCTCAGTGTGTCTTCTGAGTTTTTTCAATAAGTAGTAAAATCCTAGAGGTATGGAACATTTTTTAAAGGGAAGCTACACAAAATTATTCCCCGCATAAGTATATGAAATACAGCTTTTACGTTCACTTTTTAATTATGAAGTAATTTGACTATTAAAAAAAAATGAGAAACATCGTTGGTTTTATTCCTCAAGTCATCTAACGAGCTAAATCACCACACAAAGGGTGTTGACGATTTCAACTTATGTGTCATGAATACTTTTTGGTCCATTTAAGATGCACTCGAGTTTTAATTTGGACGCGATAATCTTTAAAATACTGCTAGAATAATCATCTTGTCACAAACAAAATACCACAAAAATATTTGAAGATTAAGAATGGCACGCCTTAACTAGCTTATAAAAATATTGTATCGAAATATCTGAATAGAGAAAGATTATCGCTTTTTCAATGTTCATCCGCGAAAGAAAATGTCAAGGATAATGGTAAATCTATATATATAAGCGTTACAAACTGCATATATGTATCATTCACAGTCTAGCCAGAAGTAGCAACACAGAATTTGCTGTGTAATAAAGAGGGGCTTAATTGCAAGTTTGGTCACTCGAATTGCTATAAAATTTCACGTTTGCCACTCAAATTAATTTATTTCATTTATAGTCACTCGAATTAGTTGAACAGTTCAAGTTCGGTCACTCTCCGTTAACTTCCGTTAACTTTGACTGACGTGGCGGTCAACTCTGACAGTTGACCGTTAAATGTGTGACGTGGCAAATAAAAAATAATTAAAAAATAAAAATAAAATTTTTAGAAATTAACTTCAGAACACCAAAGTGATGGTAATTAGCAATAAGAAGGAATTCTCCCTTCGGCGAATCTGTTCCCCTGAAGATACAATCTTTTCAAATCCCCCAATTCCCCAATCTCTTCTGGAACAGAGCCCGAAAACTGATTGTTGCTCAACTCCAAACATTCCAATTTCTTCAAATTCGACATCCCTCGCGGTATTCTCCCTGTTATCTTGTTACCCTTCATCCGCAGACTCGAAACCTCTGTAAAATTAACGACCGATTCCGGCAGCGATCCGCCGAAATTGTTGAAACCCAGAGAAACCAACTGTAAACTCGACAGATTGCTGACACTGGAAATGAAATCGTGATCACCCGCTTCACCGGTTCCAAGCAAGTTATACGAAATGCTCAGCCACCAAAGCTTTTGCAGCTTCTCAAAGGACGGCAGAGTTCCAGAGATTCCGTTATCAGTAATAGTTAACCTCTCCAAGTTGGAAGCATTGGCCAACGAAGCAGGGAT